TTCTCTAGTATCGTGAGCTTACTATCCTTGGGTACAACCAGTCAACAACAACGCATGATACTGTACTCAGTACAAGGCGACAACAGTCGTCGTTGTTCAACAGTTGCTTCTCTTTTTCTTTCTGACTTGACAACCAATACGAGCAGTAGGTACATGTAGTCTTGACGTCCACTTTGACAGTATGGCTGGTGCATCGCATGTTGTTTTGAATGGATTGTCCACAAGTTTTACAGTCGGCATAATAGTAATATTGCATTAACAGTATCAGGCGCTTTTTCAATATCTTCTCCAATAGCTAGAGGTTACTATCCTTCGATAGAACCAATCGAGAACAACGCATGATGCAGTATCAATCGACACCATTGAAGCAGAGTTGCTTTTCTGGAGTTGCTTCTTTTGACTTCTTCTTACCTACAGTATGGCTGATGCATCACTTGTTGTGAATGGATTGTCTACAAGTTTTACCGTCAGCGGAACTATAATATTGCGTTAACAGTATCATGCACTTTTTTAAGGTCTTCTCCAATAGCCAGAGGTTACTATCCTTCGATAGAACCAATCTAGAACAACGCATGATACAGTATAAATCGACACCATTGAAGCAGAGTTGCTTTTCTTGAGTTACTTCTCTTGACTTCTTCTTTCCGACTTTCGAGCCAATCGTACCTACAGTATGGCTGGTGCATCGCTTGTTGTGAATGGATTGTCCACAAGTTTTACCGTCAGCTTAACAGTAATATTACGTTAACAGTATCATGCACTTTTTCAATGTCTTCTCCAATAGCTTGAGGTTACTATCCTTCGATAGAACCAATCTAGAACAACGCATGATGCAGTATAAATCGACACCATTGAAGCAGAGTTGCTTTTCTGGAGTTGCTTCTTTTGACTTCTTCTTTCCGACTTTCGAGCCAATCGTACCTACAGTATGGCTGGTGCATCGCTTGTTGTGAATGGATTGTCCACAAGTTTTACCGTCAGCTTAACAGTAATATTGCGTTAACAGTATCATGCACTTTTTTAAGGTCTTCTCCAATAGCTAGAGGTTACTATCCTTCGATAGAACCAATCGAGAACAACGCATGATGCAGTATAAATCGACAACATTGAAGCAGAGTTGCTTTTCTGGAGTTGCTTCTTTTGACTTCTTCTTACCTACAGTATGGCTGATGCATCACTTGTTGTGAATGGATTGTCCACAAGTTTTACAGTCAGCGTAACTGTTATATTGCGTTAACAGTATCATGCACTTTTTTAAGGTCTTCTCCAATAGCCAGAGGTTACTATCCTTCGATAGAACCAATCGAGAACAACGCATGATGCAGTATAAATCGACACCATTGAAGCAGAGTTGCTTCTTTTGACTTCTTCTTACCTACAGTATGGCTGATGCATCACTTGTTGTGAATGGATTGTCCACAAGTTTTACAGTCGGCATAACAGTAATATTGCATTAACAGTATCATGCACTTTTTCAAGGTCTTCTCCAATAGCTAGAGGTTACTATCCTTCGATAGAACCAATCTAGAACAACGCATGATGCAGTATAAATCGACAACATTGAAGCAGAGTTGCTTTTCTGGAGTTGCTTCTCTTGACTTCTTCTTACCTACAGTATGGCTGATGCATCACTTGTTGTGAATGGATTGTCCACAAGTTTTACAGTCGGCATAATAGTAATATTGCATTAACAGTATCATGCACTTTTTCAAGGTCTTCTCCAATAGCTTGAGGTTACTATCCTTCGATAGAACCAATCTAGAACAACGCATGATACAGTATAAATCGACACCATTGAAGCAGAGTTGCTTTTCTGGAGTTGCTTCTTTTGACTTCTTTCGGACTTTGGAGGCCAATCGTATCGACAGTATGGGCTGGTGCATAACTTGTTTGGAATGTGTTGTAACATCATTTCTGAATGAGTTGATTTGACCAACGTTGAATCTAGTCTACTCTGACCACTATGCACCCATTTTCCACTTGAGCAGTTGCGCCCATACTCGTTTACCAAACGCTGATAGCTTACAGTAGTAGTATGGGAGAGGATGGAGTGTTGTAGCAGTTCTACTCCACAAGTGAAGGAAGTTCTGCCATCCTTCTCCTAGAAGAACAATCTGCATCAAAATGAGATTGCGATCATGATTGCTATCGTCGATTAAATGGCTCATCTAGTGTTGTCGTTAAGTTAAACCGGTAAGTAAAGTAGAGACAATCGATCGTAGAAGGTAATATTGCTTGTCGAGTAGCAAACGTGTTGTTGTCTGTCTATTTTCATCGTTGACGGTCGAGGTAATCCTCCGGATGGGGTAGCATTCTAGGCGAGTAGTTTTCGATCAAACTCTAGGCGTTATGATGACGATGATAATAGTTTCTGACAACAGATGGCTTATTATTATTATAATGATACAGTATTGATAGGGTAGGTAATAGGATGTTAACTTACCCTGATATCATTACTTTCATTTTGATCTATATTGCATCGGATATCATATCCTGCAATGTTGTGGTTAGCGTTCAACATTAGTCATTGATTTATCAGCAGGTCTTGTAGTATATCGCTACTTAAATGACTATGGTGAACTAGTTAAATGTAGAGGATGGTCTCCATTGCAAAGGAGTGATCGATATTCAGTCCTAAATTGGAATCAATCTGTCAAATTGCCAACATCGGTCAGGTCCTCCTACCCCAAAAAATCCATTTTATATAGTTGATTCAATCTAGGACAGTGGCAATCGAAGATTGACGATAGTGTTGCAACGCTTGGTACTTGAATCATTATAGTCAACTAGTGGAGTATAGAGGCCACATTTCAAAAGAGTGATTGATAGATTAGATTCTAAGTTGGAATCAATCCGCTACATTGCTACTACTACGTTTATCGTCTCGATCGATGTATACCAGACGTTCTTTCTACGTCCTACAGGCACAATCTGTAGTAAGGCAGTCCATTTTGTTTGTGTCCAAGGGGACATGGCGTGTTGAAAATCTTATGCGCTACTATAGGATAAGATTTTATCAGAATCACTTTGAACCGACTGTATATCATCCCTCTCTATTTTGGATGTCACATATCTCATTCTGCTTGAAAGGATGGTCAATTACTTGCTGCCGTTGATATAGTTTTGCCACGGAATGAAACTTCATTCTTTAGTGCGCGCTGTTGTACCCAATATTCAAATCCTACAAAACTACTTGTTAGAGCATTGAATGCATGTAGGATTTGCAATCTTCAAGAATCTTGATATTACATGAATACAGTAGTCATGTAAGATAGGAAATTTTTCATCAGTATACTGTGGCAGGATAGACAAGGCTTGCAAGCTCTTGTACTTATTTTCATAAGCTATTTGCGTGCTCATGTTAAACGGTACTGCCAGCATGTGTTAGAGCACTGAAAGCGTGTAGGATTTGCAATGTTCAAGAATCTTGATATTACATGAATACAGTAGTCATGTAAGATTGGAAATTTTTTCATCAGCATACTTTGGCAGGATAGACAAGGCTTGCAAAGTGTTGTACTTATTTTCATAGGCTATTTGCATGCTCATGTTAAACGGTACTGCCATCAAGTTCTATGTTAGCTATGGAGTCTAATCTGCTAAGAATGTCTATTCTAGATGATTCTACATGATTATACTGGGAATTAGTCAAATAATTCAATTATTTATTGATTTTAGATGATTGCTAATGCAATTCTGTATTCATAATGTTAGAGAACTAAAGTGCGTAAGTACGTAACGTATTAGTTAGACTTGGAAAGGCATTAATCCCACATCGCTAATACACTCAACCATTGCTATAAGATCTCGCTTACCTCAGTCCGATTAAATTTGATCTTTTTGCTAAAGTTAGCAAAATACTATCCTATCTCACAGCAAAGATAACCGATATCTATACTCGTATATATAGCCTTCATCATTCCAAATTTCATTGAACCGCTATGCAAGACATGCACAATGTTGCTAACGCCAACTTTGCTTACGTATAACTCTGACAAAGTTATGTCCTAGTGACATAGGGTATCTTACAGTAAGTACATACGAGTGTTAGCGTGGATTACACTTTGAGAGTAATTTTGCCTTTTAATTCTTGTAGACAGAAGAATAGGTAATTCTTGCCAGGTCATTTATGGTGCCTGGGCTAGGACCTTGCTATCATAATGGTTACTGTATGAGTGAGAAGAGATATACCGACGCATTCTTGCTCAAGTTTTTTCTACTATCAACTATCACCGAACGAAGAAGCCTACGCAACTTCTAATCTTGTAGCAGTTGCAAACTATTTTATTGCATATGTTGCGATTGGTGTACACATTTTTACAAAGCTAAGGGATCTTGATGATCAATACCATTTATACTACGTAATGAATTCAGTTGCAGACTCTTTATCCGCGACTGTAGCCGTCGCTACCAATTCTTTGGTAAAGCCATTCAGTGTGCATCAAGAAAATAATGATAGTAATGTTATTACTGTCGATACAGGTACTATACAAGTCAAATACTTTCTATAGCTTTACAAATTATAAATATTGATATTTTTAAAGCTCATTATGATGTGCATTAAAATATTCTTTTTTTATAATGCATTGGTTAAAGCTATTGATACCTGCATCCCATCCAATCAAACATATAACTTCAACGCCTCTATCAATAGCTACAGTCCCAGTGAATTAGATATGGCTTCTACAACTGGCACAAATGACTCCTCCATTTTCAATCGCTCCCAATATAAAAATCATCGCCATGGTGTTGTTGATACCCTTGCTACCATGAGTAATATGGAATCATCAACGATGCCGTGCGAAATCAACCATGGAAATGTTGTTACTCTAGTGCAAGATCGAAATGGGGATTATCCTAGAAGTCAAGATAACTGTAACAAAGAATATTCTATCAACGATTCAGCTAGCAACGATATGGAGCCCAGCCCGTCCTCAAGTAGTAGCACCAGCAGAGATTACAAAAAATTAAGACCTAACAGTAGTAGATCACGTAGAGACTACAAGTGTAATATTTGCAATGAGGTATTTAGTAAATCATCCTTGCTAAAGCTGCATTCACTGCAACATACTGGAGAGCGAGCTTTTAAGGTTTACTTTAGTCCTACTTTTTACTCTTTTTACACGTATACTGTACAGAATATTAAAATTTCCTGCGTGATTTCCTTGAGATTTGAGTGTTGACGGCATTTTATGTATTATTGCTAGTGTCCTTATCCAGATTGTGGCTGGTCATTTACCACAACTTACAAGTTGAAGAGGCACATTAGGGGACATACTGGGGAAAAGCCCTTTATGGTATTATATTTTTAATCATGCACATCTTATTGTGATTTATGATCATGTCTGCCAGGAACTTCTAGAAAAATTCCTTTATCTACTATTGGATTAGTTTTTAAATTTCAGTTTACGAATAATAACTTTTAAATGTCTTATGTCTATAGTAAGCAAAATTTCTGAACGAGATTGATTTCAATATTCCATCTTTAATATTAACTGACTTTACTGGAAATACGCGTATGCATGCTCCGTGAAGTAATAGTATTTTTTTCTTTAGTGTACTATCGATGGATGCAATAAACATTTCACCACTGCGTACAACCTTAAAACTCATCAGCGTAGCCATTTTAAAACTAATACCTTGCAATGTACCGTGGATGGATGTACGGCATCATTTCAGACATTGCAAAAATTAAAGTCTCACGAACGCAAATATCATTGTAATGGCTCCAAAGCATACAAGTTAGTCAAATTTAATCAATTCTTATAGAATAGAAGTAGATTGCTTTCTCGAACTATTTAATGTACGATTATTAGCTCAAATTTTAATGTCTTTTATTTCTAATTCACAAGGATTGTGTCTTTGAATCACTAGATGGTGTAGATTGCTGAGCTTGATTACATGTTTGCTGTTTAAAAATTTAGGTGCGATGTTAATGGTTGCGGAAAAGAATTTAATGGTATGAACAACTTAACCCTCCACAGTCGCTCGCACAGTATAACAAAAGTCCATCCGTGCACTTTCCCTGGATGTTCCAAGCAATTCACGAAAGCTTCAAAATTGTCCATACATATGCGTTCTCACACTGGAGAGCGACCTTTCAAATGTCCTGAAGATGTAGGTGTATTTGTAAAGTAAATGTATTATGATTCTATCACACTAAAGGGGAGTTAGTTACATTAGAAATGCAATCTTATTGAACACTAATGGCTATTATTATTTACATCTTAATGGTTAATTAATTATTTAGGGATGCAACTGGTCATTTACCAGTCCTTATAAGTTGAAACGTCACCAACGAAAACATACTGGTGAACGTCCGTATGAGTGTACTTACACCGATTGTCATAAAGCCTTTACTCGTTCTAGCCATTTGAAAACGCACATGTTGGCTCATACTGGTGATAAACCTTACAAATGCTTGGCTACTGGATGCGACAAAGCATTTACGGCCAGTAGTAGCTTAAATGTTCATAAGCGTAAGCATACTGGAGAAAAGCCATATAGATGTAATTCTGATGGTTGTATGAAGGCTTACACAACTGGAGCAAATTTGAGACTACATCAGAAACGTGATCATGACACTGTGATGATTTCGTCGCAAGGTAAGTAATCTGTGATTCTATCAAAGTTTGACATTTGACGTACGTTAAACATTATGTATTTGTTCTGTTTTTGGAAATAGACCAACATATGCAAATAGATTCGGCTTCATCGCAATACGAAAGAATTGAACCGTTGGTTACAGATTCTGAATCTGATGGTGCTGCTCGAAACGATTACAGGAGATTTTCTGCCTCTGATTTCAACCCTGCAGATGTCACAGCTCTTAGTGAAGCCTTAGATAAAGATTTCGGTAGTGATGAGGATACCCAAACTACTGAAAGTCAAGGTCAGATTTCTTGTAAGAATAGTAACGAAATAGATCATGATGGAGAATTTAACGAGACTGCTGTAGTAACTTCAGGTACCGTTATTAACCACTACCACTAATATCGCAAGCGTTGACAAATTAGCAATGTGTTATTCGTTTTTAATATGCCTCGTTTAATCTTACGCTAGGTTATAACGATGAAGTTTCTGGATTTGTTATGAGTGACGATAGTGAATCATCCGGTGTCGATCATTTTGCAAATTTCCAACCTGTTTCAAGTGCTCCAGTTATAGATCATCATGTTTCAACAAGTTCTAATTTAGGCGTTAATGAGTATGCTGATGCAGCACCTACGGGCTACAATGTACGAACTCATGGAAATTTTGCAACTAATGGGCTTCACTATCATGCCGTTAGCGACTTTACTAACAACGGTAGCGAATTGCATGCCAATGACGTATCTGGAAAGGAATACGGACAGAATACAATGATGAAATCACAATCTAATGCGGACTATTGTTCACGCACAAGTATTATTAGATCTGCTATCAATCCAAATAATTATGGCGAATATATTGAAGTGGACATGTTAAGTGAACCTCAACCAAACGATAGTGTTATGCAAGGGAGCCAGGAAATGACATCTGAGCAGATGCTACAGACACTACGTCCTAGTTGTGAAAATTTAAGTTTTCGTTCCCAAAGTAATCATTTATCATATGCTACCGGCGATGATACTTTGAATGCCTTCAATTCTGAAACTGATATAGCAAATGCAGATGAAATGCTACTCTTAGATGAACATCGACGGCGAGCCAACGCTGTGTCCAATGATGGAAATCCGGAATTCAATGCTGTCTCTGCTCATTACGTATGTGATAGTGGCAGCGATGTTGATGAGCGTCGATTTTCTACTAGTACCGTAAATCTCAGAGATTTAAACTAGATATTAATATTATTAATTGATAGGAATAATTATGTTAAGATAAAATTGCAATTTAATAATATTTATATCCAAATACTTCAAATACAAGATTTACGTATAAAATGCTTTTCTTGGATATAATTTTTATAAATTTCTACTATATACTATCGTTCTATATGGCAATACTTAGCCTTCACGAACACAAAAAATTATCTTCCTATACATATTTATCTTTTGTACATTAAATAGTTTCAAGTAGAGTACTAATATCTTATTAGAAATAGTTATATGAGAGAATTTGTATGTATGTATGCAAATGATTTGCCATTATGCATACAAGTTACTACTTTTAATTGGTCATCGTGGATAAGATAGACACCATCTATGTACAACGCTGACAAAAGTTTGGCTGATATCACTCCTATATTGTAAGCGTAGACTTCTGTATCACTTTTATGTGTGGTGTCTGTCATGCATTATTGTCAATGCACGTAGTTGTAATGTATAAATGATTTCAGAGTATACTTGACTAGATAGAGGATATTGATTGAATGTTATATGTTAAAATTATATGTTATTTCTCACGAGAATGATGCCAAGGTTACTTATTGCCATCCATTACAGCTGTTGTATTCGGAAACAGTTAGAGTAGATAACCGTAAATGTCAAATCACGATAGGCTTTGAACTGTATGAACGCTTTTTTAAATACAGAATTACTAGCGAAACAAGAAATGCTTGTTGAGTAGGCAGATGCGTAAACTGTATTACCGACACTGAGAATCGTTTGGTACAAAGATCAATCTACTGATATTGTAGGTTTTAGCATGCGCGTATAGCGATGGAACTGATTAGTTAGTAAAAAGGATAAGGCCTTTCTCTATTTGCTACTTTGATGGTGATGGATTTATACTTGGTACAAAGTAAATTAAACGAAGTTTAAGTTTGCTGTTACACAAAATACCTTGTACTGTAATTCATACTTGTACTCTTTTAATTAATCGCTACTACACATAGGGCTAGGGTATAAGGCAATATTATCTACAGTTGCTATAGTACTCATAATTAGCGTCAGAATTCCACGAAAGATTACGTGCAAGATGTTAGTGTTATAACATGAGCATTGATTGGTACAAGATGTACATTGAATTAGCCAATCTTTCACGTTCAGAAAGTTACGTTTTGTTACTGAGGAAATAAGCATCTTTCAGTACGTACAGTATGTCATCCACCTAGGAGCCCTATAAAGCTGGGCATACGATACATATAATAAATATCTAGATTGATCATAGACTTTGAGTAGCAATTATAAGTGATTGTAGTACTATGTCACCATTGCAATATTTTGTCATAATTAAATATATGACCGATGTTGGAGTACGTATGAAGCCTATTTAAAAGCATCACGGTTATTCGACCGACTAGCTGCTATATTACGTTGGGATTCAGAGAATATCTAGTACAAGTAAATCTGGATTTATCTTATAAAAGAATTTACAATAACATTTCAATAGAGATATATTATCGGATAACAAGGCATTCAGAGCCATAGGCAAACGAGTAGAACGTAGGCACATTTAATCGAGTATTTACATTTATTATTGGCATACACGTAGATTAAGTAATGTAAGCCGGCTATGCCCAAAAGTAGACTTTCAAATGGTTATAATTGCAAATTTTGTGAGAAAGAGAGATCAAGGTGTCCTTACAAAGTGACAAACTATAGATTAATTTTTGCTACAGTAGTAGTTTTTGTAACTTCATAAATAATATACCAAAGTGATAGAAATAAACTAAGAACTAATCAAAGCAAATACATTTGGCTGATAGTCTTACAATGTACTGTATATAAACTGTAAGTATGCCGTGATTATTCTTTTAGTATAGGTTGATGCAAAGATTTTTGTTTTAATAATGAGTTATACGGGATAATATAAATAGATAAAAAATAACGTAAGGATTACGCTAAAGTAGAAGTTTGCAGAAAAATGATTTCGGAAGTATGGAAAGATAACATTAGAAGGATTAGACAATATTAATTGATTAAGACGAAAAATTTTAGCATCTGATGCTAGTTCTAATTGTGCTCGATAATAATTAATTAAATAAAACCAGGATTACTACCATTAGTTTTCGGTATTATTATTTTACAGGGGGTTGCTATCGCTGAGCATCATTCTTTTCATTTTCGGGAGAATTTGTTAAAACGGAAGTATCTAAGGGCAATCGCTTTCCTTTACAGAAAAAAAACCAGTCATAAAACAATTAACGTTGAATAGATACGTATCTTTAATCATTTAAGATTTAAAATAGGAGTATACTGTATGTATCATGGATAGAATTATAAAAAATTTTCATTTATTACAGTATTGGTACGGTATACATCTACGATTTGAGGATTCGACATTATTCTAATTAATTAATAACGAGTAACATGTAATATTTAAATTTTGTAAACATATATAAAGAACTTACTTAACGCTTGGTTGACTAATTCTCTGTTGAACCTATCTTCCCTTTTGAATTTATTCTAAGATTTTGAATTGCAATAATAATTGATTAGATTAGATTGAGTTAGCTTGCATAGACGAAAATGTCAATATCTAGATGTCTAACCTTTAATTCATTTCTATCTCGTTTAGGAAAGACTAGTCTTCGCATTAAGCTAAAATCGGTACCAACTTGACTAAGGGCGCGATAAAATTTATTTGTTTCTAATGTGTTCACAAAGAATAGAGAACGTCAAAGAGTAAAATTAAAATTATTGCCGCTAATCAATCTAGCAAATTGTCATGGTATTTTAAAATTGTAGCATTGCATTAGAGTAAAGCACTTTATGTTCTTGATTCTAACCTCCAACATTCCATCTATCGGTGGTTGATTTTTTCTTATACGATCGATATGTAGGTAAGGCATCACTTTCATCAATTACAGCCGCTAATTCATAAGTTTCGCTAGCTGCTTCCACTACTAAACTATCTTCGTTCAGAATGATTTTACCGTTAGGACCGATACTAACTTGAGGCGCTCTATTTTCACGATCAGGTAGTCGATCTGGTTTCTCTTGGAAATCTTCATTTTCGTTTGTATCATTACTCTCGATCGCGTTTATATCATGATCGTCAGTAGGATCGACAGCGGCTTCTTGATATTTATGTTTCATGGGATTTGTTGAAGGGTTGTAATAGATTAAGTCGCTCATTGTCATTTGACTGCAGTCCAAAGATTGTGACACAGTTTTCTTTTTCAGTCGGCGTCTTTTATTACCAACGCTATCATTACTGTTATGGTACGATTGTCCTCTTTTCTCCTTACTTGAATTGCTATCTACCTTATTGAATCGATTCCTAGTTAATCGACCAGTTGGCAAGTTTACATTTTGATGGTCACGTTCATTGGTATTTTCATGATAGTTTGCATTAAAGTATGATCCGTTAGGATTGTTATTGATGATTAAATTATCATCTTTGTTTTTATTAAGGTTGGTATCGGCATCATTGAGTTGTGAAAGGTGGGTTTCATTATTTTCATCCATAGTTGGAGTTACCTCATTTGCGGTAACTACACTAGGGACGGCTCGTTTTCTTCCTGCAGTTGTATAGGAAGGATTACTTTGATTGGAATGATCATTTCTTGTCGTCTAAATTGAAAGAGAGAGAATAAAAATGTCATTATTTCTAAATCAAATTTTGTGCAGTGCAATAATTACAGTATGTTGGTTGATGTCAGAACTAATTGATTATGATCATTGGCTGCTATAGGCAATGCATCATATCATCATTATCGGTGGTGTTGAGCATGATTGAATAGTAAATTAACTGTAGTGAAATTCTTTGCAGCTCTGATGTTAACCAATGCTATGCTGTATACCAAAGTATCGTCAATTATTTGTGCATTCCCTTTTTGGAATAGAGTATACAGAACAGTAATGACTGCTACTGTATGATGGTCATATTAATCCTGTTTGAGATTGGGTATGTCTAAGCGTATCTAGATTGAATATAAAATTCTTCAAAGTTCATTTTATGGTTCACGAAATGATGCACAACCGGTAAAGTAGAATCTATTGGTTGACAGTATGCAACACAGAATGGAACCAAGTACAATTTAGGCTAACTCATCTTGTATGTTGATTAAAGGCAAATGCTAAAGAAAAATTTAAATGGACATGGAATAGCCTATTCTCATTTATACATTGGAAGAAGATTGGAATGGATTTGACCAATGGAATCTACTGTCATGCTTGATGATATGGTGTAAAACGCTATTGATTTCTTCATCATGATGTCATGCATGGATGGAAACGAGCATCCATGTAGTAAGTTGATGGCAATTTACCTGTACATTATCCGATAGTATTGGTTGACTGAGATGGCGAAATCTTCTTGTTAAACCAGGAGATGCTTGTGTATTGATTGATTGGCCTGATGTATTTTGAGTTGGTTTTGCATTCTTGATCTTTGATCGCAATCGTCCGTTGACCTATAGGCATGTATAAACATTTCACCATTAAACAATCGATGGTATGAAATGAACAATGGTCTACTTGGACGCAATTCTCATCAATCGTGGCAAGAATTGCATGCTTACGCTCGATATCGTCACTAAAGTATTGCTATAATGAAACTTTGGGTTATCTTTGTAGGTATATAGTGCATATTATTTGACTGAACTATCGTTGTATTGGCTAAATGGATAATTTGATCAATTGGTTGCTAACTTATGTCGATATTGTTCAGGCAATACTTACATCTTGTGTTGTTGTTTTGCTAGGCGTAGTTCCTTTTCTCGATCGGATAGCATCATTGACTGCTAACGTGGATGAAACACCACTCTCTGATGGTTGATCTTTTTCAGTAGCCCCATCGAGGTGGTCTATCTGATGAGGATTGAAATCATCCGATGCATGGCCATTTGTTGATTGGGAAGTATTTCCTTCTGGCGATGCTGTTGTTGGTGATAGATTGTGATCGTTGGATGATGATGTTGATGTGTTATTACTACCATGGGTAGTATTGCATCGTCGAATGTGACGCGATGCAATATTGGGGGTAAATTTCTCCCGAGGCATAGTTGAAACCTAGACTTGAATAAAGACTTGGCTGTACACCCTGAAGTGATATCACTTCAAGATTACTTGGTTGTTAATGGACGATCCAAGAAGTTGCTATTCCAATCTAATGAATTCTTCAAGTATTTTCCAATAGCAATAAGGTGCAAGTGGCTTAATCTTCACTCAATTGATCGATTGCTTTCGCAGAAGGATCATCCTTCTCGCCTACACTCTTCTATCACCAATGTTGTAATAGCAATCGACGATCATCTACTCTCTTCCTTTAACGGTTAACAACACCAACAATCCTGCAAGATTAAGGCGGATTGGGGAGAAAAGATGGCAGACAAAATTGCTGTCGGATGAGAAAATGGTTCTCCTGTCAACAGTGTACAGTATAGCCTGGGTTGGATAAGCCTACTAGAGGCCTGTAGTCTAATTACGCCGTGTAAGGGACATTAGCCAGCAGTCTAACCGTTGTAGACGTCAGCCATACATGATACTATTGCCTGCTATAACTATGGTGTGTAGCATGCAGTAGTAGTGATACTTTTCCACTGGACAGACAGGAACGGACGGAGTCCTTGGTCAATCTCTACTTACAATAGACATGTTTGAGTCGAATCATAAGAGTAGCGCGGATATTCGAAAGCCGCGAATCCAATCGGATTCGAAGTCGGATCTTAATCCGACTGCAATGGACGCTGTCCGTCGGTAAAATTCTTGAAGATTGATTGGAAATAAAATGGAATGAGTCATAAGAGCAGTGCGAATATTCGAAAGCCGCGAATCCAATCGGATTCGAAGTCGGATCTTAATCTGACTGCAATGGACGCTGTCCATCGGTAAAATTCTTGAAGATTGATTGGAAATAAAATGGAATGAATTGACTTTTTGCACGCGTTAAATTGCGGTATTTTATTCCCCTTTTTTCCCCACTCTCAAGGGTATATTTTCAATGATTACATAGTTAAAAAAGAATTTGCTTCATTTTTGATTGCTTCCGAGTGTTTTGATTGCTTCCGAGTGTTACGGTATATGACGCCATTTTGCACGGTATATTCTTTTTTTCCTGCTCTCAAGGGTATATTTTCAATAATTACAGTGTTGCAATAATTTGTTCCACTTTTTATTGCTTACGAGTATTATGGTATGTTATTACGATATATTATTTTTTTCCTCTTTTTTTCTTGCTTTCAAGAGTATATTTTCAATGATTACAGTATCAAAAAAGAATTCGCTCCATTTTTGATTGCTTCCGAGTATTAAGGTATATGACGCCATTTTGCACGGTATATTATATTCTTTTTTTCCTGCTCTCAAAGGGTATATTTTCAATGATTACAGCGTCGCAATAATTTGTTCCACTTTTTATTGCTTACGAGTATTATGGTATGTTATTACAATATATTATTTTTTCCTGCTCTCAAGAGTATATTTTCAATGATTACAGTATCAAAAATAATTTGCCCAACTTTTTATTGCTTCCGAGTATTACGGTATATTATTACGGCATTCTACACGGTATAGTATTTTTCCCCTTTTTTGCCTACTCTCAAGAGTAAGAAAAAATGATTACAGTATCAAAAATAGATTGCCCAATCTGCTTCAATTTCAAAAATTGTCGAAATCCAACCCGATTTTACGCATTGGCCGAAGAACCTTCTACATACAAGTAGAATAAAGTGAAGTGGAAGGTGAAATATCGCTTGTTGTTGTGGTATTTTGAAGGTAGGCCAATAATGGGATAGCATGGACGCAAGGAAGGTTTCTTCCACCATCCTAGTCAATGTCCTCCTAGCGCTATACTATACATCCTGTACTATGGCTGACTATAGAAGGAGTATACTGTAGAACAAAACTATTTTACACAGAGGTAGCAGACAATTTGAAAAATTGTCCAAATCCAACCCGATTTTACGGATTGCCCGAAGAACCTTCTACATACAAGTAGAATACAAGCAAATGGAAATATTACCTGTTGGAGTATTTTGAAGGTAGGATTATACTGTAGAACAAAACTATTTTGCATCATCGGTCCAGAGGTAGCGGACAATTTCAAAATTTTATCCAAATCCAACCCGATTTTACGCATTGCCCGAAGAACCTTCTACATGCAGGGTGTCTCATCAAAAATCGACGACGATTGAAGTTCTATGAAAACACAATTTCAACACCAAATTAGACAAATTTGGTATCAGTCTATTGCAAATAAGACGCTTTATGTAAATATGTAATTTCAATTTACATAAAAACCTTCCACATACAAGTAGAATACAGGCAAGTGGAAATATTGCTTGTCGGAGTATTTTGAAGGTAGGATTATACTGTACAACAAAACTATTTTTGCATCATCGGTCAGAGGTAGCGGACAATTTGAAAATTATCCAAATCCAACCCGATTTTACGCATTGCCCGAAGAACCTGCTATATGCAGGGTGTCTCATCGAAAATCGACGACGATTGAAGTTCTATGAAAACACAATTTCAACACCAAATTAGACAACTTTGGTATCAGTCTGTTGCAAATAAGACGCTTTATGTAAATATGTAATTTCAATTGACATAAAAACCTTCTACATACAAGGAGATTAAAGGCAAGTGGAAATATTGCTTGTCGGAGTATTTTGATGGTAGGATTATACTGTACAACAAAACTATTTTTGCATCATCGGTCCAGAGGTAGCGGACAATTTGAAAATTATCCAAATCCAACCCGATTTTACGCATTGCCCGAAGAACCTGCTATGTGCAGGGTGTCTCATCGAAAATCGACGACGATTGAAGTTCTATGAAAACACAATTTCAACACCAAATTAGACAAATTTGGTATCAGTCTGTTGCAAATAAGACGCTTTATGTAAATATGTAATTTCAATTGACATAAAAACCTTCTACATACAAGGAGATTAAAGGCAAGTGGAAATATTACTTGTTGGAGTATATTTTAAAAGGGAGGTTGATAATCGGACATCATGGACGTAAGGAAGTTTTCTTCCACCATCGTAGTCGACCCAGTACAAGTACATGTATTATGATTGCATACTGTATGTAGTATACCGTACTATGGTAATAGTGCCTATCCTATGGCTGAGTAGAGGAGTCTACAGTACAACAAAACTCAGCCTGGCTGTACTGTATGTGTCCGCTCCCGGGACCGTCCGCACGCCCATCCATCCGACGCAACCATCCACCTGGCTTTTGCTCGAGGTGCTGCCATTAGTACAAAAGCCATCCAAGAATTCATCATGGCGCTGTCTACCAAAGACATGAATTCTCTGCTTAGGTAAGAATGATCATTTCCAATCGATATCCTTGTCCAATACCTCATTTATTCGTAAGGATAATGTATTGATGTTCGTGGAGAATCCTTTGATTGCCATGATAAAGTGGTAGATCTACTGTAAATAGTCTTGAAAGTTGAACTCGTCTATGACAAGGTTATTGTCGTCGAGGACGAAACAAGTTCCAACGCCAGTCTACAATTGCTTTTACGACGAGCCGGCATCAACTCGGATTTGATTTTGACACTCTTGTATCTACCTGTACTCATAATTTCATATAGCTATTCGTGCTTTATTAGCTGTTATTCATTGGCCATGACAGAGGATGCCATTTTTTCATTCAATGCAATGGAATCGTCTAATCGAATTATGAATAAGGGAAACTTTCACATACAACAACTTGAAAGGCAAATTCATTCTGCTATTCGATTGATCATGCTGCTTGAACACGTTCACTATTGGCGATCATCGACTCAACATGCCGATAACATAGTCTGTGCTTAATCAATCATCTGATGCATACAGTTTTACTTCACTTAGCAAGGCTAAAGCTATGAGCCATGGCATGTTGATCTCTCAATCAGTATTACGATGCCAAAACGATCAACTCTGTCCTTCGTTGATCACGCCATTGATCCATGTCATGATTGCAATTACTTTGAAATTGCAATCTTTCAACCTCATCAATCACAAAGATGGAACAGAAAGGGATCAATCCTTCTATTCTTTCTGTTACATCAACAAGTAAGATTGGCTTGCAGTCATTTTATCCTTGGCTAATAGCCTATTCTATCTATACACTAACTTGGATAGACTTTGGGTAAAGACTGTATCCCATCTTCTGCTTTGCTTGAGCCATTTTATTTTACTAGATAGACGCAAAATATTCACAAACCTCGCTCGCTTGCAATCATAAGTAGTAATAGCAGTGTGTGATAGATGATGCAGGGTATTTCACCCAGTCTAAATCTCAATATCCAATCACAATGATGGATTGATGAAAGCATCACTGTCTTAAATAGTACCATCATGACTATCATTAGTAGCCATAAAATGAACATGATTTACAATTTCAACCCTGTGGTGAAAATTACTTTTCTTTCCTTTGCTATTTTGATTGTGACATCTAGTGTTATTTCCGAAGAAAATTTGACTGTATCTTCCTTGGAATCTTTGGCCTCTTCTGTTCATCATTTCTTCGGTAGACAGGATCATTTCAAGTTAGGAACAGCGATGGTAAGAGAGATTAAAGTCATTTTCTAATCTTTTTTTTTTTGGACCGATATAATGATACTAAATACATTAATTTTATCAATGGCGATACTTAATTTATACAGTGTAAATTTGCTGACATGCAATTGTATGATAGTTAGCATTGCACTATTTTATATCGTCATTTTAAAATCATCTTTCCTATGGTAACTACGACTGTCAACAGGGTCATTATGTGTAATAACATGCTCCAAAGTAGCAATAGTCACATTATAGTCATGACAAACGCTACCAAAGTATAATATTGACAACAACTATTTATTCAATGATGATTTATTCACGCCTGGCTCAAAGTATCCATATTATGCGGCTACTTCATACTTTTATGCTATTGAATTTCGATATCGGATTGCTATCAAGGTCTGCAAAAATTAAATTTCCCTTTCTTTACTGTACTTAGCTGTACCTAGGATAAAATTTTGATACCTAGCGCATTAATCGTCAATCATGTTGATGTCCTTGTAAAATGCAAGAATAATAGACTTGCTAACAAAGTATCAATATCATAATTTTTAATATCCATTTTGTGTGAAATTCGCGGATTCAAAGGCTTTTCAGTCTTGCCGATATAGAATGAAGTATCGACATATGAATGTGCAAACATACTTCCGTTAATCGAATTCATTCTATATAGATATACATTACTAGTGTAAGAAAGATACATACTGTGCAATATTCTATAATTATGCTATTTTTGAATATGTTTCCTATTAATGATACGATACTAGTCGCGCTTCTATCACTTTCCCAGTGTGAAGAATAATATAATAGACTAATCTCCTACTTATTTGAAAACAATTTTGACCATTTTTGATGCAGATGATGGCCTTAACAGTTTTGAATATCATTTGAATGTTTGAAAGTGATCATAAACTTAAAAAAACTTCTTTTTTTTTACAGCTACTTTATCAAACTGCTATATAATGCGTATTGGCAATGTGTATGATAGTGTTAGAGCTACCCTATATTGCTACCACTCTTGATATCCGTGTCGATCGATACAATGTAATAATAGTACATTCGATTGATTGTAATGACAGAAATTATTATCACACAACTACCAGTACGATCCTATATTGCTTTAAAATCGTACTAGCTCTATGCACTTTTCATTTTTCGTAGACAAGAAGAAAACTGTTATACTGTGCAGGATCAATGACTATAAACAATAAATAAAATATTAATGTCTTTTGTTCATGTTGGAAAATAGACGGTTTTACTGCAGCAATCGGACCTGCTCTCTGGTTCCGCTCAGAAATGTGCTATCATCTATCTGCTATATGATATGTACCGTAACGAACCAATTACATCAAATCCTTTCGCTACCGTGTTTGCTTATTTAATGCTGGATAAGGTAATCAATCGATCACGACTGCTCGTGGGAACGTAGCTATATATCACATTGTTATATTTTTTAGCAACTGTATCGTCATGACAAATATCGGGTGCATTGCTAACTCTATTCAATATATAGCTAGCACAAGTGGACGTACTCTAACCGTTTGAAATGACTATTAATACTTTGTATCTATCGGATCTTTCTTGGTCTTTTCGCATGTAGGATCAGTCTAGTGATATTGGTGTTCCAGAAAAGACTCTGTTGCCACCTTTGACACCGGTTGAAAAGAATTTCTTATACCAACTTATCAAAGGGCCACCATCAAAAGATGTAAGTTGTTTATTACTGAATAAGGAAAAAGTTATAACTCTATTTTTATACAATATATTGATTTTGCTAGTTATGATTATGTTGCGACTTGACACAGAATAACCTTGACAAATAGAGAATAAAATTCTTCATGCTTTACATTCAAAATTCAGTTGCAAAAGAAGACGCCTACCCAAGTTGCTAATGGAGAAGCTGATCCCAATCAAGTGTATGATGTAGAACCGTTTCTAGAGATTTTACGGTCACGATTTGTCCAAACCCCGTTATGTAATAAATCTGGAATATCTTGTGTTATAGCCGATCCAGATAATGAGAAAAGGTACCGTAGTCCTGTCTATCGATCCTTTCCTTACTTGATAATAGTAAATTATTGACTATACCATGGTAGTTCATAAAATTGTTGGCATCGATTTCATATAGATTATAGCTGACGATAGTTAACTAATCTGTATAATTAAATCTTGTAATTGTTCAATAGTATGACGTTTGATATCAACGAAAAGTCTCAAGTGATTGAATCGTTACTAACTGGAGAGTGTTCGGTAGTAACGAAAGCTTTCCAACCTGATTTCTGTTGTCTTGTTCCTCCCTTATTGAAATACGATAATGAAGTAGGTTTATGTTCTGAACATAAATAAGACGATACACATAACTGCATTCTACTGATTTACCAAACTGTTTGTGTACCTACCTTTGTTTGAGCAAAACGTAAGTGTTGTAATAATTTGACTGCATTAGTTGACGTTTATGATTCCTGATGGTGAAGAACGCGAATTTGAATGGGATAGAACAATGTGCACTAGTAATAGTGTCGGTACGTAATCCAGTGTTAGTTAAATTATCTTCTAATACTTTTGCAACTTTAGGCATATGCTAAACTATTCATTGAATTTATAACCATAGGTCTAGAAGTTCGCAGATTAATTGCTAAAGCTTTTACTGGAGCCTTGTCAGCCCAAGAACAACAGGTATGTTATTGTAATCTATTTTGGATTGGTAGTTGCTCACTATCTGATATGATTATTTTTGTCAATATTCTACTACAGCAAGTTCTTTCCGAATTAGAAAAGGATCAAAAGTTAGTGTACCATATTGGAATTACTCCGAGTAAGGTAAAAAGAAATACGCCTACTTCCCAGAAAGTAATTGGGTATTTATTACGTTGGTTATTCGCCATTAAGTCATTTTACCCTTTATTACATGTTTTTTCCTCTTGAAATTTAGTTACCTGATCTTGTTGAAAATAACCCACTAGTTGCTATTGAAGTATTATTGAAACTAATGAAATCAAACCAAATCTCTGAGTAAATTTAAAACTATCTAATCTTTTGAAGCAATAGTGAGATAAAAAACTTGAATATGAATAAGCAATGTACTTTATTTCTACGCAGATATTTTTCTACCTTGGTAAATATGAATATGTCATTGCATTCTATGGAGGTGGTTAATCGCTTAACTACGGTACAACGTTAATCAGGATATTTCTCTGTACAATCGATTGGCTGCTAGCTATCCGTTATGCCCATGCATATGATGAAATCTCTGTTTAACATACACATGTTATTAACTTGTAGGCTGTTGATCTTCCTCCAGAATTCCTTCAGTTGTATATTTCCAACTGTATTTCTAGTTGTGAGAATACCAAGGATAAGTATATGCAGAGTCGTTTAGTTCGTCTGGTAAGCAAAATTTTGATCTTATTTCAATTGCAGCTATCACTCAATTGTACTCTTCTTTACGTACCTGTTTGAACAATTTACAATTCCTGTCAATAGGTTTGTGTATTCTTACAGTCTCTGATCAGAAATAAAATTATTAATGTTCAAGTAAGTTATCAATTGGGGTTGACTGTACGCGTTTTGTTCATCAAGCGCCAATTGCTTCTCTTTCAAAGTCAAAATTTAAAGCAGTCGGTAATGTTTTTGTAATAGTCTATCATCATTGTACAATTCATAGGATTTATTCATCGAAGTACAAGCCTTCTGTATCGAGTTTAGTCGAATTAAGGAAGCCGCTTGTTTATTTCGCCTTTTAAAAAGCCTTGATCCAAATGAGTCAGATCAGAACAACAAAGATGCGAGAGACGGTGAAAAAGAGAACGAATAGCGTTAACTGAAGTTGTAATTACTTCGTTATTATCGAGTATTTTCTCAGACATAAATGCCCAATCGACTGTATTAAAAACTGTACATACAATAGGGTTAACTATTTTAGTACCTTTTGCCAGTCTTTGGCTGTCAATTCAAAATTCGAAGGTGTAACCAATTAAAAATCAAATTTCTTGGAAATAAATGTTATTTTATTTGTCACCGTTAATGGATGAACGATTCAATATTTGCATGTTTAATATAAGAATGACTATACCAGTAGGATGCTTTCGTGAAATTGGTCCTGCAACATACTATAGTCATTTTAATTTATCATAGTAACTTAGTCATAAAATAGTTTTGAGTTTTTCAAAAAGATATTCTTTTCTCCGTGATTGATTCACTTGGTTCCATTCAAAATAAGGAATCTATAAACGTACATATAATAACAATAAAGGTTACGCTTCATATACATGGTAATACCAATACTGACTACTCACGAACTCTAATGAACTACCGAGAGTTGCAGTAAGATTTACGCTATTATCATGTACCTGGATAACCTGATGACCAAGCAAACTTAAATGCCTGTATTTCATTTCGGTAGGTCCTTTAAGTTGGTAAGAATCAACGAGAAAATGATCAGGGCCATCGACTTCGATGCAAATGGATTGATTAATATTGTTCGAGTCATTGTCATGACTCGATGGATCTTTGCCGTTATACTGTAAAAAGATATCGGTAGAATATCCACAATCTAATTTGTATTCGTTAAAAATGCGATAATTTTGATCTTGACAAAGGGGAACCAATTCATTATATACACTTTCATGTAATCGAGACTTGTTTGTTGCTTGATCTATAAAGCTGTTGAGTAATTTTTGACGATAAGACTGAGAAAGTAAGTGATCATGATTGGAATTATATTCAAGCCTAGTCGCCAGATCGATTTGATACAATTGATGCTCGCATTTCCGTTCACCTGAAATTCAAACATACATATATGTATATGTTAAAGTTCAATCAATCAGGTTAGACACTTGGAGCACAAAATATTATCAATACTAGCACCGTGAAAGTCTAATAATTCATTATTTCAGGAGTGCACATACATACAGTATAATACGCATTTGATTCATTACTGGAAACGACTAATTGTTAGATTGCCCTTACATTTCAGCCAAATGATGTCATTCTAATTGTAATTTCATTTTGTTGAATACATTAAAGACTATAGCACTTTTGTCCTACTCTTTTGAATCTACGAGTGTTTCTACATTGAATCAATATATAAAATGCTGTAGATCAACTGTAGACTTTATTGTTAAGCAGTTCAGATGAGTAACTTACGAACTGTGTGTAACTGACCTTTCTTCTATAAAGCTACTGTAAGGATTACGTATTCGAGATCATGAACTGATAAACGAGTTGATTCAAATACCCGATTATAGCAATATAATTTACACAATGCGGATTGTAATGTTCCTATCCTCAGTATTTAAACATATTTCTAGCCTGTATAACATGCTGTCAATACTAGCATAATAATTGTTCAAATTTCATTTTTTGCTAATCAAGCTATCCAAGTTTAGTACCATAACTACAAGCCGAATGCAACTTTTCTCTCTTCAACAAAGCTATTATTGTCATTATGATTAAGTCAGAACGATGAAATGTTATGCAGTAATGAATTTCAAATACCTTGTAAATCACTTTGGTTCATGATATCTTGGACAAAGTTAGGTTGTAAGACTATAGAAATCAACTCTAACGGAAATTGTTTCATAACTATCAGTGACCACACAAAAGTAGTTAATTCAAATGGTTGGAATTTAGTGACGGATTTAATCCCTTGACTTATCAACATATTATTGATTGGCTGAACGCTAAAATTTAGGTTAGAAAATGACCAAGCGATATTAGCAATACTTTGGCAATTTAAATTTTGACTTTGAGTCAGGATATGATCAACTAATTCGGTAAATAGAGGTTTGTGCAAATAAGACTGCCAAGAATATGCTAGCGCAATATTTGATAATCCTTGTGGTACGACATCTGGTAAATGGGTAATTAAAGTATCGGCCAATTTATCGTACATATCTTGATTAAATATCTCTAATTTACTCATAGCCCAAATACTGTTACATAAGTCCTGTGACCGAAAGCTACCAATTTGTTGTACTCGTTGCTTAAAGATATCAATAGCTTGCCTACTTGGAGTATAATTAACAGTTGCAAGCGACCATAACACTAAAGATAAATCATGCGAATAGAATTGGCGGATATTATTGATTGTAGAAGTAATTAGTGTATCCATTATATCTTTACTCCAGTAATTTATCTTTGCTGACGCCCACATTACTGTAGCTACATATCGAGGTGGCAAGATTTTGATTTCTTGAATTATTTTGGAATAAATAATATTTAACATTTTATGATGACTATAATCAGCTAATGCAAATATTCTTAGCATTGGTATGATATCTTCTATTATAGGGGTAGGAGAACTGATCTTGTCCATGGCTAGCTGAATGACGGATTGAAACCAAGGGCGATTTTGGCATTGAGCAGTAAGGCATGACCACAATATTAGGCGTACATTTTTAGTGTTGACTTTATCGCTTCTACTTAGGATAGTGGTTATACATCGATGGAAAAATTGTTCATCAAAATATCCGATAGCTGTATATAGGTGTAAATAAGAACACAGATCGTCGATAGCGAAATCCTTTAAATTTTGCTGGAGTAAATGTTGCATAGTAGTGTGTAGGAAAGGTTGATTGATATAATGATCTTTCTGTCTAGCATGAAGTTGTAAGATGTATATTAAATTTTTTGGAAACCATTTTGATCTATCTTGCAAGAATTGATCGTGACAGTACCCCAATAAAGGAGTGACATCATAGTTTAGCTGTGATAAGGTAAAGAGTATGCGAATAAAATCAGTATTGGTTATCGTGTCGATATTGGACTGAACTCGATCCCTGATTTTGGTCAATATAGCATCATTGTTAAACTGTAATTTAGCACAAGCCCAGGATACATTGGATAACTCGTACCATTTCATTTGATTAGCATGTCGAAGGAATGGATCAATTAATTGTTGCAAGAGTGTATCTTCCATCCAACCAATCTTTCCTAATGTATAGAATATCGTAGCCACTTCTAATGCATTGAATTTGGCTGCACGCTGACAACATTCATCCAGTAATGATCGCAATAATCGAGTAGGTCGATCATCAATTTTACCTATCATCCACATTGTAAGTAGAATTTCTTTATTGGATAATTGATTAACCTGTTGTTGTGGTATTGCATCTAAGTTTTTCAAAACTTGTTCAAGTCTTTTATTCTGTTTAACACTGATCAATGCATGGCTGGGTAAATTCTTGGCTCTGATGAATCGATTGACAAATGTAATCCACCCGGATATTTTTTGCTTCTTGGTAGAACTAGGATTTCGATTGATCACCAAGTCATTCTCTTTAGTGTCTACTTGGCATTGCTGATTGAGACTGGTTGATTGAAAGAGAGCTAATTGTTGGTGAGCTATTAATCGCCTTAATCCATTGCAAGGAAAAGCCTTTACTAATTGCAGCGCAGCCACCTTTTGCATGATGGGTCCCAATTCAATAAATGCTGTGGACGGTGTGGTGACGTCTATCTGTCTTCTCCGTAGCAGTCTCGTACAGTGTACAGTGGTTGCAGTACAGTATTTATCATCCAAACATGCTTCTGAAAAAGTAGCACGATACGGCACGGTTCAGCATGGTTCGGTACGGTTCAGTATGGTACGGTACGGAGGCCCAGAAGGCTCAGACGATCACTCTGTGGACAGCATGCAGATATCCTTCTGAAATGCCTACAGAACAGTATACTGTACTCACATTATAGTATACTGGAAGCAATTTTGCCAAGTTTTAGCCAAATGAACTCAGATTTTGGGGGTTGATTTTACTAAGAACTAGCAGACAAACGTATTGAAGATGAAGGATTACAGTAGTGTAGGCCATGGAGGTCATGGATGGCCTTACTGTACAGTGTACAGTACTGTACTGTACAGCTGAAATGGATGTTTACAGTACCGTCACTCAAACAGCCTGAACCAGACTGGACCAGAATGGACTAGTTCTAGTTTAAGCAACTTTGAAAAGCTCCAATATTGTAGGAGATTTCAAGGACAGTTTAAAGGGCTTAAATTAGCAATATGAGCAACAATTCATTGTCAAGACAGCCTAATGATATCGTTTATACGTTTATGCCAGTACTAGACATGATTGATTTAGCAAAATCCAGTGCAAAACTCCATTTTAAGACTAGCTATTACGCTCGATCTAGCGTAGTGTACTGGAATCTATGGATAGTTTTGATGGGTTTCGATAAAGCGACACAAGGGCAGTTGAAGCACTGCCCTGACTGGTGTATTAGACCACTCCTATAGTAATGTACTATTTATTCCCTACTGCAGCGATCAGAGTGGATAGCCACTTACGTTGCCATAGTGATATTGCAGAAGATGGACTAAGATGGACTAGACAGATCGAGTAAATGCTGCAGCAATTAGTGATTGATTCAGCGCAGTCCATTCAAATTACATCGGCCCACCAAGAAGGAGAAAGTTCATCAAGTCTAGCCAGTCTACAATCCAATCGTCATTCATTTCATAGCCAAGTGGTGGATGGAATAATCTGCTTGCAACCTGCACCCAAGTGATGGTTACCTGGATAAGCTAAAGAGAGTGAAGAATAGCTCAAATTGAATATTGCATAGGATAGTATTCTACTGTAGAGATTGATTGAGCCTTGTTGTCTTGGACTACGGTGATTAGTTCCATTACAAAGTTAATCTACACTGGAACACGACTGAAATAACGTTGGTAGTAAAACGATTAGAGCAGACTACCGGCGCCAAATCCATTCATTAATTCATAGACAAGCCGACCGCCATGTTTCGAAAACCATTTCGTGTTAAATCATCGACAATCACCAGGAAAAGTATCAGGTAGAGGCTGAGATTAGTTGAATGAGAGATGAATCATGAGGAAATATCAATTATTGCACTAGAGCAAACTTGTTTGTTATGTTGTAAACATGATGACATCATCCATACCAATCAAATAATTCTAGACGGAATAAGTGCAAAATTTGCCTAGCATAAATGTACTATTGACAAGAAAAAAAATGAGTTCGGTGTCTACTGTACCGTTGTTTTGTACAGTACATCTCTTGATTGATCGATCGATATCTTCATAGTGTGAGTAAAGGCCATGACTGTGATCGAATGACGTGTACAACTTTGACATGATAGTGTACATATTGACAATTACAAGATATGAGAGACTCCTAAGAAATCTTCCTGCATACCCAATGACTAATCAAGGTTCAGCGAGAACAAATCGATGATGAGAGTACAGCAGTGTGCTTATGTTCGCTTACATTCAATTAATTAATTATTCCTTGTATGCTTATGTTAGTATACTCGCTACATGTTACTCTATGTGCACAATCTACAGCAATGATAGTCCGAAAATTACAGTTTTATCTACTCTACAGCATACACAAGTACGTTCGTATTTCATCGTATCCACTGTCAAAATTCTCATGAATAGGAAAGTAAAATTTGAACTACGAAGACTACGTCGTATTTCATAGTTTGCCCAATAAAGGGAAAGAATTAACTTGCGTATATCATCCAATACTTTCATTTGCCAATCTATTACAATAATTTCGTATTTCATGCAATCAATAGGAGGAAATTGCGTGCGGATATTATCAAGCAGTTTGCTTCTCTAACTGAAGACGAAGTCAATCAATTGATTCCTTCTAAGGAAGAACTGACTGCGACCATTGCTATTACTCATAGTAAAGAGGAAGTTGTCATTTATTCTATTGCTGGAGAACCGTTGCTTTTTACTTATAACAATACCTTATACCCCACAGGTAGCTAGAAAATGTATATCCTAAAAATGTTATTATACCTGTATTACAGATTGAATCGCCAATTACTGATCCAAGTCAATTTTTAAACTAAGAAAGATATAGTTAAAGTTTCTTTTGCAACGATAGCATGACGATAGCTATGATGGCCATTTCAATCTGGTTAAGCTTTGAGGGAATGAGTTTGCCTATACCAGAAAATCGATATTAAGTATTTACCTTTTCTAGTGTATGCAGCATGGATGCTACCTCATCTTTTACTTGCCATGATTACCTGGCCGAATGTCTTTGATAAAATGATATCTGGAGCTGGTAAGGATTATCGTATATTTAAAATCTAGATATCGTATCATAAGTTTTATCGTTTGTTCAATTATACTATTGAAGTTGTATATGACATTATTCTGAATGTAATATCTAAATCTTGGGAATAGTAAGGTAAACTTTAGGAGATACATAAAGAATTGATAACATTTAAATTGCTTTAGACTTAATGCTACCGGGTGTGACGGCAGTGAGCCATGTTGAATGGGTAAAGCATCAAGCATGTACTATAGCACTTAGCGACTGTTTGTAAGTTTAATTCTGTATAAGGATTGAAATGACGCTGTATGTTCCCGCAAAGAAATGATAAATAAATGATACTTTTACAACTTCCCGTTACAGAGTTCCAGTTGCTGTTGGTTTAACAGCTGTGTCACGTCAACAAGCCAAAGATGCCAGAATGAGAGGCAAAGGGGTCTATGTGTTGCATACTTATCGGGATTACCTATGGTAAATCGATAAATGAGCTTTCTGAATGTGTGCCTGTATTGATTGTGAAATAATGAATAGGAAAATTACTTAAGCGAGATTAAATCAATGGATATGCCTTGCTTGTAATAGGGAATTTGGAACGAAATGCAAGGCGCCAACACAATGCATGATAAATACTTATTCCTTAAGAGGATCTACAGACACACTACAATTAGGTAATTTTATGGCTATTTTCATTTCTTATAATATTACAAACTAGAAGATGTTGCTTGCTAATAAAAATTATTTCTTTAGAAAACTTAGCAATAGCTAATGATCTGGATCTATGTGAAGGTAGTAAATTAAATTACTAAAAATACCAATCGTAAAATCTAAACTTCATGGATGAATATTATAAATAATTCTCGATTTGTAATTAGAACAAGAAAGTATAGACCAAAGCGGGATGAATGAAAGGGAAGGATCGGCTGCGTTAAATATAACGACAACAGCAACAGATGATAGTAAACAAATCGGCGACCCTTGCAAAGTAGATAGTAACAACGATAGTACAGGGCGAGAAGGTGCTACTGAAGAGAGTACCCAAGAAGCAGAAGGAACTGCAACTGAAAACTCTGAAGTTGCGATAAATCCAACAGGTAATCACCATCACGTTTTATAGATTTGCTCATACAGTATTCGTAGTACATTAATTTAACTTCGCTTTTAGCTAATTTTCTTGGGCAGTTGCAATTTTATTGAGCCACTTTATCCGTAAAAGGATATAAGTTCGTATCTTTAACTTGTCTAAGCAATCAAATTAATCTGTGTTTGTTTATATTCTACCATTGCAGATACTATGGATCAACTATATCAGAAATGTTTTATGAAGGCAGTCATTTCTTGCTTGCGAAACAAGACAGAACTACCCTTACTCGCTAGTTCTTTTAATAGAATTATGCAATCATATTGGTAATACAGTATGTAATTTGTTAGTCTTCTAAGATCTAGAGGATATTGTATACTTAATTATGTAATACTATTTTAGTGAAGAGGGTGAAAATTTAAACATCAAGAAATCTAGCTATAAGAAGGTATTCATATCATAAAGTTGTAGCTTACTGCAATTTCTTATCAAGATGGTGTAGAATCAATTACGAATGCTGATATAGAAAATTGTTTATTTGAAACTTGCTTTAGTTCCTAACTTTTCTGAAAGTAATGAAGGAATGGGGTATAATTGATTTCAAAGATACTGCGCGTGGAGTGCAAAGCATTACAGCTATACAGCGTGGACATCCAGAGTATGCTTTTAGGATTACCTTAACTTAATATAAATAAAAATTTCACGTATATAAAATGCGTTATAATATTTGATAGGGTCAAGGGCTTTGCCGCAAATTATCCAGTTGAAGAAGTAACCGAAATTCCTAGCGAATCGAATGACGATGCTTTAGTTTGGGAAAAGGTTTAATTTGCTAGCTATTTTAAGAATTAACTCTCATCTTTACCGACTTTAAATATTAATAACTAATATTAACACAATATATTAGGGTCCAATAATTGAAGAGTTATATATGGCTAATAAACAGACGGCCTTCATCTTCAGTAATTTAGATTGGTAAATAAATCAATATTATTAATTTACTAAGATTAAATCTTAATATCATATAAACGCATCATTACCGACCATTTCCTAGACTATTCTAATATAAATATGTTCTTAAACCGTAGGAAGAACAAATTATTCAATGTAGCTGATGTTAGAGCAGCTATAACGTCCTATATAAAAGCTCATGATCTCATTAATCCACATCAGACGCGGTATAGTCGTATGAATATGAATTGCTTATAGTGACCGCAAATAGATCTGTCTTGTAAGACTTTGCAATCCAAAATATTTTTTGTACTTTTTAGCCTAGTAAATTTAAATGATGCTTTGGGAAACTGTTTATTAACCAAGAATGATAAAGGCAATGCTTTATCTTGGGAGGAAATTATGAAGCGTTTTACGGCAAAAATGAGTAATTGCCATCAGATTATACTACCTAATGATGATAGACCAATTTTGAGGTATAATTTAGCTTACTGGATGTAATACAAGCAAGATAGATGAATTTATGCTGTAGATCGGCATACCAAATAGAATGAAATTTTATTGCCTTATGATTACGACAGAAAAGGAAAGGTTGATTTAATCAATGTATCGATTGTTCGAAGAAGTGGTAACAAGAAAGTAACGCTCATTGATAATCTAGAAAGCTTTGGCATACCTGTTGATAAATTTATGCACACATTGCAGAATATGGCCGCTGCAAGTACATGTAGTAAGTCTGCTAATGAAACTGTATTTGTTTGTAGCATATCGATCTTATTACGGTAACAATGCTGTCGTAAGCTGATTCAAGCTACCTGAAAGCGATCTTTTATGTGAATTTTTAGAATGGTCATTGTCAGGATATTTTAAACTTTTATAAAATTTGAACAATTGGTATGTTGTATTTTTAAAGCCTATTCAGTACCTGGGAAAAAAAGTACTGGGACGCAAGTTATGGTTCAGGGAAGTCAAATTAAAATTGTATCAAGAATTTTAATTGGTTAGTGCGTAACTAATGGTATTAAATAATAATCAGGAAATAGTATTTTATGGCGAATCCTAAAGAATCATAACCTTTGATTGATATTTGATACGGCATTTTCTATTAGAAAATTTGAAGATACCCAAGAAATTTATAACAGGGATTGGTAAATAGAAATGGAGGCATTATACAAACCTGGCAGGACATGGTCTCTAGCCACTATTTTAATATTTGAATTAATAAATAAAAAGAATTAACGTTGCAGCTATTATGAATCAAACCGTGCCTATCGAAGACGTTGGTTTACTTGCTTGGTATATCCGAACTGATCCATCCCATTTTAACCAAGTTATAGGAAGCGCTAGGTGTACTAGAAAATTGATTACAGTATAAGCCCAATTACTGTACATGAAGTTAATAAAAATTACAGTCCATTTTTTGTCTCATGCTCACTGGTATCATATCTAACCTGAGGAAATAAATACCATGCAGTTCTCTATAGATAGCAATCGTAGACAGTGCATGATTACTACTGCATAACTATATTATGATTGCATTTCTCTGTATTCCTGTTCTGTATATAAAAGGTAAAAAGGGGGCAATAATAGCCTTTATTATAATTTATAAATCGAGGACTGCACATGGTAGCAGAACTGTTCTTGCTTATTGGTGCAGTAAAACCAATTTCAGTTATATTAATATTCAAGACAAATACACTCGCTTGCTGAACTAATTTATCTTTCCCCGACACTCGGGCAGTTTCGACTTTCGATAGTAGTAATGATAATCCTATAGTGTGCGCGTATACGAGCGCTATAATACTGCAAAGTATATAATGGAAGCAAAATATCTACTTGGTAGTGCTAGTATCTTACTATGCTATCCATTTTTTGAAGCACTATAAAATCATTTTATATATTAATTTTGAATTATAATCAAATACTTCTCCATATTCCTATAATCCATCCCCGGTGGGGATTGCCCCTAGTAAATGGGTAGTAAGGTAGCCTCTGTCCATCTGTCAGACCTGGTTCGTCTACAAATCCTGATCACAATAGAGAACATTAGACTTTGCTTCATTGAATGTATGTTTCTTTTGCCTATTTATACTTCAGGCTTGCTCTCTAATTTTAAATAACATTCTCAATTTCTTCTTGACTCCTTATTCAGTAGCTGTGTTACAACTACGATTCCTTACTCATTAATTCCCCTTTAATTAAGACACTCCAGCCTCCATTTCCAATAACGCCATGTTAAGTACTGCGGTCGTTTGCGCAGTCGCAGTCTGCTACGTGCGCCATTGCCTGACTAGAACAAAGAAAGAAAAGCAACAGACGACCAAGGAGGGAGGTATACCAAACCTAGGTTAATCAATACTAGTCTAGTATAGAATCAAATGTGGAATAGGGTGTGGAGACTAGGAGATTTTCTTGCAGTCGCCAATGCTAGCGAAGCACAAGATTGCAAACTCTAACAGCCGGAAATGAGCTCGCAATCTGATCATCATGGCAATATGTCCAAGCGCAACAGTGAACATCCACTTCAGGTTTGTAAAGGATAAAGTAGAATGTCCAAGGATGCTATTTTGAGCTAGTAGATGTTTGCTAGACAGCGTTGATGATTTTACTTGGCCATTGAGTATGTGATAGGAAGAATAATGATAATCAATGGCAAGTCGATAGAAATGAGGGTGGATGGAAATCGTAATGTTATACTATTGTATCGATTGTTATCTACTGTATGGGTTACTATATAGCCAGACAAGACTGGTTGCTAGAGTAACGTCAATGATAATCCCATCGTAGAATGATGGAGTAATCGACAAGATCGATTATTATTTTTATTACTACTTATGTTATGAATAGAATCCTACTGTAAGCAAACTTGGTACTCATAATAGTATTATCTATTTCTTGGATAGTATTATAGCTTTAAACATATAGACCATATGAAATCATGCCCACAATATACCTCACTATTGCAACATGCTGTCGATGATGCACCTCAAATCACGGACGAGATGTTGGATTCATTAAATACTGAATTAACCTTATTGGAGAAGTCCATTAGTGAAAGAGCGCAACGATTAGGGACAGAATTAGAGGTAAGTCTACTCTGTTATGTTCTAATGGATAGATTTACAGCACTACAGTAGATAGAATCATAGGACAATCAAGCAATTTTCAAGCACTATGAAAGACATCCAAAAGCTTGATTCCACTCAGTCTATATGTACATAGATATATCTATATAGTGGCTCGATTTTATTCAAGAATATATCTTCCCCTTGTTTATACCTCAATATTAAATTAAAATTGAAAAATATAGTTACGGTATATATTTTTCAATTTTATAAATATAGATTGTTGTTGATTGGTTGGACCGGAAAGATAAGAAGGATTCTAAAGGGAGTGCATCATCTGATTTGCAAAATAGTGAAAGTTCTGATCATAATAAACAATCAACGCCTGGATTGAAAAGAAGTACACACGGTAATAAACATAAATTTACTTATTGACTGCATGGACTCGTACATCTCGATACAATAGGGTAGATTGATAGGATCTGCTAATAAATGACAGCATTTCCTTAATATCCGTTAAGTAGAGTTGTAAACTTACTTAGTTCTAGTGTAGGTCGAGCTCAACTTGAATTTATTTACAAATACTCAACATTATCCGAATCAGCAATGGTATATTTAATACTATTGATTCAGTCTCATCTTACAATCTGATTTTGATATCTTGAAGACGATCAGTTGAATAAGAAGCAAAAACTGAAGGGCAACTTAAGTAAGAAACAAAAGAAGAAACATAAAGCTAAAGATGTCCCTGTACCAGTAGGTTAGTTCTTTACATTACAATTGATAATATTTTTCCTACGTATTTCATATCGATGAACTATAAAATGGGTTGACGTTGTTCGATAATTGATCTAATTATGCCAATCTAACTGCTGCTAGCTATATTGATTACGACGCGTATCAGTAATCTTATCAAATTAAATCAAACTACTGTCACCAATTCTCTTTAAATTAATCCTTTAATAATTCATAACTTTACAAAATTTTCAGTGATGTAGCTATAATTTAAGTAAAATTGTCACAAGAATAACAACAGCAATGTTAGGTAATACGTATTTTGTACTATTAAATGATTGAAGATAACGATAAAAAATTAAAGACTGACGCACCAACGCGATTTTGGGCAGCCGTTGATTCTTATTGTACTGATATTACACAAGAAGATATTAAAATATTGGATCAATTACTAGAATGTGAAGATTACTCGGAATATTATACGGTATGATTGAACTATATTCCCGTCTACATATACATACATTAGTGTCCGATATAGTGGTAATACTGTATTGCTAAGATTTTATTATTACCAGCTAATATCGATAAAATTTGATAATCAATAATTGTTTACTTGAATTTAATTGCCGGCTTATATCGTAATATCAAGATGCCACCTTTGGGGATGCATTATACAAAACGTTGGGCTAAAGAAGATCTATTAGAGGAAAGAAGTCAAGGAAAGCGTGCTGCTGAAGCGGAAGGCAATATCAATGAAGACCACGTTGATGATCTCAACAAAACTAATCAAGAAATTGATTCTTTATTAAGAAGTAATAACAATAAAAACTCTTACACTGACGACAGTGATGACTACTGCCCTGTTGGTGCATTAACTCAACGGTTGCTTGCATCGTTGGTGGAAGAGAATATTGTTGCCCCTGCACCTATACAAATCTACGGTAGTGAGAGCACTGGCGGTGACGGCAACAGCAATCATGATAACACTAAATCACGCCTCAATTCCAATGAACGCGATTTATCACAAGTAGGCTGTTTCGCTAACTTTATGATGCAACCAACCACTAATTGCATTACTTAATACTATCGGCTTTAAATTTAGTTATACCGTATTATCGACTGAATTGCCACAACTATTGATCTAGTGCATGTTCAATTTTTTATTATCATTAGGTTTCACAATGGAAAACTCTTGATAAACGTATTCGTGAGGAGTTAATTACATTAAATATAATTTCACGAAGTGATATTGTTGCTGATTCTGATGGAAGAAATAATGACGACGAAGATGAAGTTTTAAGTGAATTACACCGACGTCAGCAAGAATTAAAAGCAGTTAATCAAGAAAACGTTGCTTTCATTCAACAATTAAAGGAAGCAAGTATCCGAGAAACAAAGCGACAAAAACTATTACAATCTGTTCGAGTTTGTGACAACGAAGTGATTGATTATTATAAACGTTTTGCTCCTACTAAGTCGAAAAAGAAAGGCCTTACAAAAGAAGAAACTGAACGCGCATGGCAGTTGCTTAAAAGTAGACAAGCAGCTATTAATAAACTAAATCAATTTGATAGTAGCTTGTAGTTATTATGTTAACATACCAATATTATCTAATACATAATGTAAAGTATAGTGTTGATGCTGTGGTTAATCGTGCCTCTTACTGCAACGAAACTGTAAATACTGCATACCCTTATTTGAACTTATACGGTAATATAGCCATTATCCGTAATGAAAGATGATTTACTTTATAATGCTATAGCAGAATTTCTAATGTTACAAATTGTTTTATATATCGTTATCCGCCCGTAATTATCAAAGGCTTCAGTAATTGACTGTAAGTTAATTAATTTAGTAGAGGAAAACCTTTATTTAATTTTGCAACTGTTCTTCACATTCCGCAGAATTTTACTTTCTTGCCTATCAATTACTTTGCAATGTACAGATAATGAGTTTACTAAGCTATTTGTCGCTTAGTAATGATTGTTCTAAATGATTGATCATTTTTTCTTGCTACTTTGTACAGTTTTAATTCATATTGTAAAAATATATCTTTCGGCAAATCGATTTATACAGCCTACATGGCGCAAGTTTATGCCCCACCTTACTAAATAAGCGTGAAAGGATCGATCAAATCGTAAAATTCTCAATCATAAAAAGCATCAAACAACGCAAATGCCGAAACAATGTAAAGATGTTATACTCATCATTACCTCAATTGTAATACTTCTTACCAGGGACTTCTTAAGACAAATTTGTCTTAGGAGTCCCTGCTTCTTACAATATTAAAAACAACTATTGTATATATTGAGTTAAACTTAACCGCGGTATAATATTCATGGACTGAAGTTCTTGAAATAATAGTTTACATGCATAAGGAATTTGCAATGAAGAAACATGGCATGAGGAATGGCAATAGTGACACCTGTAAAAGTATTTAAGCAGTGTATTAACGACAACTTAGCTTTTTATCTGAATCATCATTCATGTAATGAACTTCCCAACATACCATTTAGAATAAGCGAGTAAGCCGCAATTATTACAGACATCTACTTCAAAAGCATCACTGGAGATCATAAGGCGTTCCACTAAGAGCATGCTAAAAATATAGAAGAAGAGTATCAATAATGCACTTACGCTATTCATTATAACTTAGAGCTGTAACTTTATAATTGTTACAGTGTTAAATACTGTATTACAGTAGAAATAACTATGTTAGGATAATTCTATTAGACTATCCTTATTTAGTTAACTTCTAATTTGGATATACTGTATTTTAATATAGCACTGACTTTTTATGACAGTGACACTTATACACATACTGAAATTATAATAGTTATAATAGGGAATGCAAATCATCTGCTTACAGTTCGAATCATTGTGATTGTAATTTACTTATGGTAGACTGTAAATTATCATGGAAATGTTCCGTGATAGGACATATCGTAATCTGACTATTCTGTATTAGTCATTATATGTCTATGTTCGTAAATACTGTTGTCTGCATTAAGGGAGCAGTAGCTAAAATTAATATCTAATTCAGTAAATGATTCTAATGTTAATTGTATTAACTATGACTCATGAACTATTGAGGAATAGTATATAAATGCAGTATATCGTGAAATAAAGAAGAATTGTCCAACTTAGTGTTTAATGTAAAATACGAGGCGTTTAAGTCTTTGTGTAGTCTGCTAGTAGAGCAAAAGTGTTTGTGATAGTGCAGATATCGTTCCTTGATACGTGGTTCAAGGAATTGACTTATTGATCGTATATTGCGTTATCTTGTTGCAAAGCTGTTTTGTGACAATAATATAATATCATTCTGCAGCATTTCAATTTGAAATTTGTAGTACGGAACTATTTACTAGGTCATAATTTTTAACAACGCATCAGCAACGAATTACAGAAATAAAGCATACACAAGTATTTAGTTTAACCTGGTTCCGTATGCAATTAAACAATCTCTTTCCATTTCACCCAGGCGAAGACCGCCATCCCTACAAGATATAAGCAGACCATTATTTATTGCAAGGTTTGCAATAAATCGCATGACAATAATTTCGCTTTGTAACATTAATACAAGAAACCAAATCGGATATGAAATTTAAGATTACAATGACACACCTTGATCGCCCTTCCGTAGGTTGGCGAGTTAAAACGGCTCGTGGTCCCTAAGGAGAACGGAAATAATTTTAAACTAAAGTAAGTTACACAAATATATGCCTGTCTTAATAAAAAGGGACAGCTCAATATTAAATATACATGACTACCTTTGCACGCGCATGCATTTTATCGAGAACCATATGTTTTAGCCTTTGATAGTACACCGGCCCAAAGAAAATGTAAGCACTTAAACCTTCACTAAAAAAGAAAATTAATAAAACTTAGCTGTTACTGGCTTTAATTTCTCAAACTGAAACTGATTTCGTATACCGACCCGGTAATTCCTGATGTTAAATAATCTTTTCCAGCATAGCTGTAATTATAATCTATCAAGGTTTGGCATAAGTCTTCTAGTTTATCGCCATCAAAAGCTAAGGAATTAAGGGATTATACTATTAAAGTAGAACATCACTACCAGACATATTTGAAAATGCCTATACAGTATTGTTATTCCCAATAAATAATATACCAGTAATTGATCTCGCGTGGATTATGTAAATTTATGCAGGCATACCTGTTCCGTAACGAAATTTGCCGTCTAACAAAGAAGCTTTCCCCCCAATTACTTCCATTAATTTACCAACAGTCATGCGAGAAGGAAAACCATGTGGATTCATAATCTGAAAGGATTGAATGAAGTTAAACACTAATGAGACATATTTGCATTCATGACGTAATAATAATCGTCTATTTCCAAACAAACCATATCCGGACAAACTCCCTGCATACACATGAAATTAATAAAAGTATTGTCAACACGTGAAATTTGATGAGTCACATTGAAGAGTCAAGTAAAGTAAAACCGACCTGATCGGTAAATGGCATATCCTCCTGATTTACAATTAGACCGCATACACTACAGCAGCATGATAGAAAACTCAGTAAATATTATAATTAACTCGAAATAACTTTTAGATATTATACATACCCTTTTTGACCATGTCTACTGCTAAATTTATCACCAATTTCGGGTCGTCGGCTTGACCTTAGGAGAGTCTTGATTAGGAAAGCTTCATCATTATTTGAAGATATCATTACATTTTCGACATATGCATCAGTTGGTCCGCGATACCTAGAGTGAAATTGAAGCAGATCAAATATTTACTAAAACCTTGTCCATTGTGAAATTCCTAAAAGTTTAGGCGTACGTCATGGGCATGTCAATATACTCGGGTTGAAGCAATTTTTGTCCAGTTCCTACTTAAAAGCAAAATAAATCAGTAATATAATTAACTAAACAAAATTCAGATGAAAGTAGCAACCTGCGATTGGTGTCGATGTTACTGAAGGGATAGATTTATTTATCAATATCTGTTTGCTTTCGACTTTTTCTCCTAAAGGGCAGCAGATTAGTCAATACGTCGTTAGAAAGTAGAAAAAATAATATAGAATAGACTAACAAATAATAGGACTATACACAAATAATTAAGCGTATTAGTCTCACCTGGCATGCAAATTCCATCAGCATCTAATACCTTATGTTTCCATATTGTTTTTCCAGTTTGTGCATCAGCTTGCGGCCCTAAAGAAAATATGAAATAAGAACATTTGAGTATAGAAAATCAAAATAATTTAATTCACTGTCTACAATTCGCATACCCATAACAACGTCATGAGTTTGATTTGGATATTTCTTAAGTGAACATGCTTGCTTTCGATAAACTATGCAACGACCATACCCTTTGATAAGTTCAATAACACCTGTGAGTATTTAACTACTGCCATTAGTAACATACACTGATGTTACCTCTATCTACAGACGCCTTGTTGAGAATGACAGCATCCTAGGATAATTAAGATAAAAGTGTAACTTTTTAATCTTACAAGGGCTAATTATATCAACTATCGGCTAAATACTAACCTCTATATCGTATCCACTATAGCTCATTACTGCAATAATAGCATTTTGTCCTTTATGTTACATAGGAATATAAATAATACAAATATTATAATTATTAACAATATTGAACAATTTTAAAGTAGTCATGAAACCTATTTACCTGCAGGCAATTTGTCAAATTCAATGAGGTCGATAGTCTGTATGAAAATATCATTTATTACCAGGTTTCAAAAATCAGATTACAAAACACGGCGCTCAACGTCCGTGATACCTCTGAAAAAGTTATGCCATACCTTAGTTTTTACAAGTGGGACTTGTGGATACACCAACTGATATAATACTGTATCGATTCTGATAAGATTTAAACAGAGGGAAAGTTATAAACAGTTAAATCATCCACATTTTCTATGGATTAAATTGATATGTAAACTACCTATTCCGTTGATTATAACCAATTGTTCCTAGGAAATAACCAAACAAGTTCACATAATCAGATCCAACTTAATCTATTGATTTTTGTTTACTTTATTGCCAGTAAAAAGATCCTTACCGATGGCTTGTTTCCCCATAGCACATTGGTACGTATTACGAGGTGACTGATTATGATGTGGAAAAGGAATTAGACCAGCACATACACCCAGTATTGTAAAGGGCTCGATGTCTAAATGCGTCGTTTTACTATAAAGCGTAACATATAGTAGATTAAATAAGAAAAATGCAAAGTCTACCCGAAGGCATTAAATAATTGTTTCTACCTATTAATATCGGATTCATATAACGCAATATTACAGTCATTCTCTTCGTTAACATCCAAGTATTCAATCAATCCGTTACGGATGAAATCGTCAAAGCTCCTAAGCAATTAAACACGTAATACATCCACAATAAATGTCAGGTCTAATCCGATAAAGTCATTACTGCACTATGTATAGCGAAAAAAAGCCTTACCTAATTCCTTGCGAAAGTTCTTCAATATGCTTTATCGTAACTAACGGTTTTTCAGACTTTACAATTATGTAAGGCCTACCGATAACGGTATACATTATATTATATATAATTGACTTAAGCACTTCATTAATTGCACATTACGTGGTCATTACCTACAGACACGGCCTCCATCTAATGCGATGTTAATTTGTCTATATAACAGTTAATTAGAACATTGTTTAATGTCAACTAATTATGAATAAGTTAGCAAGTAAAAGATTACAAAGTCTAGTGGGTTAACAATCAATCAAAATCCTACCTATACGTATGATTTGGATAGATTGACACGAACTCGTTTATGTAGTTGGCTATTAAATAAAGAATTCTTTTAACTTGAGCAGTCTTAATATCTATACAAGGAAGCCGATAGGGAATTTCATTTCTTTCTAGCATACGATTAGAAAACAAACCTCTTCGCAACAAACGAAACGTTCTAATCAATTTCTTATAATTTCTAGCAGCTCCGAGTACATAGCCTGATTGATAACAGTAATACACACTTACGTTAACTATGAGATAGAAGCAGTAAAGAAATTAATAATATAAGACTAAATTAATATTTTGATGCAGCAATTTCAACCTACCATTAACATAAACTATATAAATATGAGGTAAGCTTAGCTCTTCACCAGACAAGAGATTAATATCCTACAATGGATTATTATCGTACGTAGAGAATTAACAAATTCAATTACCCATAAACGAGATAATATATTAATTATTAATGACAGCTTAGCAGTAATTGGACACCTCAACTCCTAAATTAAATAACAGATTGATGATAATTTTATCGTCCGAATCTGTAGTTATATGAGTCATCAATGCCAAATTTTTAACAAGGCCACAAGCCTAGGAATTGAGTCAAAGATAATATATATAAATGATTACAAAACTGATAAGAATATTGCAAAGTTTTGAAGCTTACTTCTCCTTCCGGGGTATCCGACGGACACAACATACCCCATTGAGATGGTTGCAAGGAACGAGGACCGCTAACTTTTCGTGTCTTTTCGAACTGATATAATAATTACAGAAGAAGTTATAGACGGTGACTAACATCTAAACTAACTATTAATATAATCGCTTGAAATTGAAATATAACTGCATTTGGCTACAAGAATTAATGTTGTATTTTTCAGACGAATCAGATACCTGACTTGATATTCTAGTCATCATCCCCAATGCTGATAAATAAGACAACCTAGAAAGAACCTACAAAAGGTGAAAAACTTAGAATAGCATAAAGACAAAATTTTTCTACTGTTAATTAAACGAACCTGCGTCACTCCAGCTCGATCCATTTTATATCTTTTGATTGACCAATTTCCCTACATTTATCAATGATGAATAAGCCAACAAAATTAATATAATGTAAGCCCAGAAAGTCTTAAATAGAATTTCGCTTTAGAATGAAGTATTCTACATGGACTATACCGTCGTTAAAGCTAAGTTGAAGCCATTAGTTATTTGATCTTGTCGCATGTATTTTACTATGTCAAACTGATTCAGAAAATTATCGTATTAGCTTAACGTTCGTAATTTACGATTTACTTCTAAGAAACGTAAATTCATATTTACAGGGCCTGCTCTTTGCTTCGGAATATTTTTTTCCGCGATACTCTTCAACTACGGAAATATACGTCAATTAATATAATCATAATTTATAGAAATATTATTCTTCAAATATTTGCTAGTGCTAATTAAGAAAGGTGTTCAAGTTTGCAGTAAATTGCAACATACTTCTATATATATTTACGTATCTATCATACCTCCGAATTGAATTTTTTAAATAAATCTTCAAATAGTAAAGCCAATAGCTATTGAACAATCCATTAGAATTTAAAAAATAACGATAAAATAATGCAATGCTAGTAACTTACTTGTCCAGCCAGTTCTAAACGTTTATTGCCGTAATAATCTTTATCATCAAGAATGCTCTGAAGTGTTCAGACAATTGTAGTTTCATTATTGTACGTTAAAAGTTATAGACTTTTACCAACTTAGAGTAAAACTATAATAAACATATTAAAAGGTAATACTTGGGTATCCTGTGAGAGAATGATGCGTCGAATCATGAGGGCAATATAAATACATTTTGTCCGGAAATTGTATCGAATCACCTGTAAGAGATGATAAGAGGAAAGTTATACACCACAAAGGCAAATAGAAGGCTACATCTATTACTTACAGGTATATGTGATAACACAACGTTAGCCAATAAATCTCTTGCTTCATCGACAGGTAATTTTTTAGCGCCCCACTTACGTTGGCGAACTCTACTTCCTATGTAACTCAATGCCTGAAATAATGATTTAAATGTTGAATATATTGTAGTAAAATATTACTTCATATAACAAGCCAAGCTGGGTAGCACATGCCTGCAATTGAGTGAAAACTTTCACATTACTGCATTCTTCTATCGAGGTGCTCAAAGCGTCTATAACCTTTTCATCGGGACCTTAAGCAAAGTACAATATCGTATATTCAAGCAAAATGTTGAAATAAAATCCTCACGACTATTTGTAAAAATCAGTAAGATTCGCTTTAATTAATTTTTCTACCAATCATTTGAATGATTTCCTGGTCGCATTCTATTCCCATTGCTTTAAAAGCAACTACTATCGGAATATTCTATAATATTAAGGGTATATCATCAATTTTAGAATGTAGGTTGGCTTTAGCGTGGTGGGAAATGATAGAATAGTTAAGAACCTCATTAATAGAGTTATGCTTCAAATAGAATTTCTTTTGTTTTGTAACAATACTGGTTAGACTTTTCCTTTCATGTGTTGAACTTATAACCGAACAACCTACATTGCCTTTGTTGTCTACTTCTAATATCATACGATTTTTTGAAAGCTGCTCCTGTATAAGGATAACTTTCTCAACACCTTTTACAATGAAGTAGCCACCTATCAAAGATGAACGAAATTAAACCTCTTTATCGTAAGCTGTAGATACGGGTAGAAATATTATGCAGTACAGTCAGTAATTAACTTATGCATTATTATTTGCCCAAAAGAAGTAAACCAAAAAATTGAATTTAAGATTACAAAGTAATTGATACAAGATCATTTTGGATGATAGTAAGCTGTTTGGAATGGATCGTTAAATGTTAACCTGGATCAATGGGGCATTCGTTGTATTTTGCAAGTTCAACAGGGCTTTTGCCATTGAGAACACAGATTGAGCTCCTGAGCATGACAGGTACACTACAAAAGTAGTAATTAGAATTACAATCGTTAGCGGAATCGTCAGAATAATAGTAATCTAGATAATAGTATCGAACGATTAAAATCACAATTCCTAAATCTATTCCTTTAATAGGAAACATTTTAGGTAATAACCTACCGCCCAATGGGTAATTTTTGCCGTCTAATTCGCTGTAAAAGATGGTACATTAATTATTATCTCAATAATATTGATATAGTATATAAAACTATACAGCTATCATGATAGGCTCTTTAAAGGTAATATAAACGATATCAAAAGATTTTTCATGTTATTAGCTAGCACGTACCTGTGCACCTCTCGTGTATTCGATATCTACAACAATCGGCGCAGAATACGTTAAATCACGTAATCGACACTATATATAAAAAATGATAGCAAAAGTATATATAAATATAAATCAAATATCTGAAATTTAAATAGTAGTTTATTGGTCGTACATATTCTGATGGTAATCGTGATGGTGGACGGAGACATGTAAGCACTTACATTTGACAATGTGTGTACGAGTATATGAATTCTTTAATAGTCGGAACTATTCAATACCATTTAAATAATAGTAAATATGTAACACGTGGTATAACTGAATATTTAATCGCTCTCGTGATTTCTATACTTAAGTACCAAATACTGATATATCACATGCTGGAAAGTCCGTTTCTTTATTACCTCATGTGGATATGTAGGCTTCGTAACATTGAAGGATTCCTCTATGTCAGGGTTACCAACGTATACATTGAGGTACCTATAGCACATTTAATCCGAGAATGAGAAGCCTTCACTAAAGAAGTAGCTCTATATGTATTCTGATTATAAACCTTACTGGATAAATATTGATTGTGATTTCAGAGGTTTAACTACTGTTTATTCGAATGAATTGGTTATATTATAATAATATTCCATTACTTACTTTAGATAAAATACGGTGTCAGCATCTGTCGTAACTTTATTATTGGCATTCACTATCTTCTTAATCTGATCATTATTGAAACAGGTATTGATTAATGCAATCAAGAAGTAAACCGAGATTTCCAATTACAACTAATTAATACGTTTTAGCCATCGCTATCGATATGAGACAAATTGTTTTGTAAGTATTTAGTACCTCACAGTTGATAAAATAATTATATGAATCAATATGCTGTTTGACCAATCCTTTGACCTAATTTAGGAAATAAATGCAAACGTAAAATACAACTTGCAGTAATTGCACTACATGTATTCTAGTAACGTAATTATGGTACAGTAACTACCTAGTATATAAAGGGTCCTTTATGAATGTGTATACTACTTAAAATAGATACAGTAATACTTCTTTAAAATCAATTTAGCATGATAGTAAATATACCTTCATTACTGAAGTAGTAGTTAAGATTATGTAAGTATCGCAACTAGAAGGACACCTAAAGCTGAATAATTGATGCATAAAACGTTAATTTTTCTGTGCTTACCTTCAAAAAAGCCGGAACTAACTTCCATTTATCCTGGAATGAAGAAGCATTATACTATGGTTAGATCTGTATTAAAATCTTCAATATTTGATAAAAATACTTTACATGAAGGATGATTTTTGCAGTACTAGTATGCTCATTCTCGGACGGATTTGTAGTAGAAAAACTCGCGAAAAGGTCGAAAAGGAACAACTACACCTAACTAAATGCATTTCATTAACGGAGATATGTTTACAATACTATCGTATAGTATTGCAGAATTTACTTCGGGAGCTATAACCCAGTATTAGAAATTAGGATGCAATGTCAGAGAGTTCTACTGTTGCTATAGTGATATGTTGTAAATTTCCTATTGGAAATGGCCAGCAATTTGAGTAGAATGCATTAAGATACAGCAAAGCCAATTCGATTTAATGATAACGATCAATTTAGGATAAGCTTGGTTAAATATTATACCATTCTTTTATAACTAAGTGTGGAAGCTAGAGGCAGCTTGCATTGATCAGTTTTGTAATACAGGATAGATCTGACGATTATAATCAGATACCTTTAGGAAGTAATTATCATATATAATAGCAGCAATCTGATTCCAAACATATAACAAGAGATGATTCTTAGAAAATTAATACCGAGCCAATAACAAATAAGCTCGATGTAACTATGACGATCGATCGGTCTATAGAAAGTTATTGCTATCTTATAAAGCAATGTTTTCTGAAGAAAATATTGCACTAGTACCCATGATAAGTAAGGATACTTTGTACCGAGAAGACGTTTAAAACAATTTCATCAAGATGAAGTCAATCTACCATAAAATTATATGATGTTATTGATCATTGATTCATACGACTATCTATCAAGTACGTACTTCGAGCTTATTAACAGGAGCAGTTAGATTTTTCTCTTTCGTCCACTCTGAATCAGCACAATCCATCCATTTTTCATCTTCATCCATTTCGATTAATGTCTCTATGACCTGTAATTGTGGGGAGCTAGGAGAGAAAGATAATATCACTTAAAATTAGATTCCTCGTTGGACAGCTTGACAATTACTAAGATGATTACTAAAATGATTTGTATCACCTTAGATTTAATATTCGTCTTAATGCTCTTGCAAGTCCACCACGTCTGCCTTCATTAACTATTGGTAGGAGAGAACGATCATATGCTTCAAATTCGATTTTTCGTTAGATAGCTGGACTATTACTAAAATGATTTCTATTATCTAGATCTAAAATGTATCTTAATGCTCTTCCAAGTCTACAGCGTTTACTTTAATGAAGTATTAGTAGGAAAGAAGGAAAATATCCTTCAAATTGGAATTCTCGTCTGAGAGCTGGGCAAAGCCAGAAATGATTTCTATCACCTACTTTTCCAGATTCACAACGTCTGTCTTACTAGTTCGCACAAGAGAAGAACAATATCCTTAAAACTAGAATTTTAGTAGATCTAGAAGAGTAATTTAAGGGATTTCTATTACCTCAATAATGGTTTAAAGTGTAGTTTTGCTCGTCTTTCAGGCTACGAAATGGCCATCCATTGCAGGGGGAGAAGCTCGCTAGCTGGCAGCTCGCTGACATGGAAACTGTATGGGCACTAGGTACCAACGCAAACAGTGTGAAATTATACTGTTTACAGTATGACGTAGGGAAGCATGTGGTAGGTCAGCTATCCCAGCAAATTTGGCGTACAGTACGCCGTCTGAGTACGGTACAATCTCACTCATACTTGGCAATTTGTAAACATGAAGTCATACAGTGCTACAGTATATAATACTGTTAATAGAAATATAAATACTGATGACTTTAGTATGCGCACCATTACTGTCGTCATTACTAATGTTTTATACCAGTAAGTGCAAGCGATTCCCCGGTACAGTACTGTACTGTAGTCTCGGCAATTTGGATACTGTAGCTGCCAAGCAGAAAAGTGCTGCAGCCATTGCAAGGCAACATGTCTCCAAATTAGAGCTGCTCCAAGTGCAATTTCGCTGTAGATTTATCGATCTTGTATCAAAGGATGAATTTCGAATGTAATAGAAAAGATTAAACTTCTAGGTAAGATCATCTACTTTAGTATCAGTGCATAGTTACTCTTTTTAATGGATTTAAAATCTCTCTTTATGAGTTCATTTCTGCAAGGTAGTAGAAGTAAGTCAAGTCTAGAGCTGCACTCTTTCCCAATTGCAATCAACGCTTTTTTATGCCCAATCGGGAATAACGAGTTTTATTCTTTTGAATGACCCTTTTCTAGTAGAAACTTTTGTATGTATGAAATTTTGCTCTAACAAGATAAGACTAATTGATGGCGCCTAAAAAAGGACGTAAAGGAAAGTCCATTAATACTACAGCGAAGAAGAATAAGAAAGAAGCGATTGATAATCTAGATAAGGCTGAACATGCTAGCAACCTCGATGATGATGCTCGTCTAAATGATGATAAGGTCGCGGATGAAGTGGATCCATCTACAATCCAGCAGCAACACATCGATCAAGATGAAATGCCTGAAATGGTATCATTTAATCAATCGAAGGAAGATGCATACAAATTAAAAGCCGAATATTCCAAAGTGAAACAACGGTAGGATGATTTGCGCAAGCACTTTGTTAGAACACCTATTCTATATAAGTAATTTTTTTTCACAATGTTCAATGCCGATATCACAATTTACAATAAATGAAAATGTAAACTATCCTTCGAGTAGGGTATGTGCAAGCCTTTCAAGCTGTAGTTTAAAAGGCTATGTAATTGATGATTATGTTTTCTACATTCTTGGCTAATATTTACGAAACTTTTATAGAAATACAAAGTTAATCTAATCATAGTCTATATTGTACAACGTTTCTATCTTCTATTGCACGTAGATTGAATTTTAATTGATTCATGTCAACATAACTAATGTTTCTTAGGATTAAAGATATTCGTAAGGAAAAGCAAAATAGGCATCAGGTTACCAAGGTAACTATGCATCGATTGCAGTTGTAGCTGTTGTACAAGTTTTAGCCATGCTTTCTTTTGATTGAATGCATTGAACTGGATCTAACTTAAAATGTTGGGAAAGTTACAAACTGAAATCATAATTAACCTTTAACTTAGGCCAAGGAAAAATCGACACGCGAGATCTTACCACTTGATGTTCTTCAAGCTGCTATAAAATATAAAGATAGGTATCGTCTAAAATAATCGATCATTTTTCTCAGAAAAGAAGTGAAGATCATTCTATTAATCCTGTATATTGCGGGTAGTGTAAAAAATTCTAGCGCTCTTACTAACAAAGTACAAGTCTACAATCGAAAACTGCCGACTTCCAAAAAGCAAACTAGAAATAGAAAATTTCGGTATGTCATTGTGACAAATAGTTACACATTTTTTAATATACTATCATTCTCCAAAGAGAATCGTAACTACGCAAGCTCTCGAAATATTGATCTATGAAAATATAGAGAATGAACTGTAGGCTACAGTCACTATTATTTTTGCAAACTAACGTTGGATCAATCAATCAAATATAATAATATAATTTATAGAGCGAAAAAAGGGCCCGCTAAAGGAACTTCATTTGTCAACATATCAAAAGATATGCCCATAGAGGTTTCTAACACTACTTCAAAATTCCTGAATAATCGCTTATTTGGTACACGGATTACAAGAAATAGTACTATGAACGTACTGTCCAACAAATACAAGAACAGAAGTCATCGGCCTGCAATCAAGTTTAAGAAAACTTAAAAACAACTGTGCTAGCACAACTTTTTAACTAAATCTAAGGAAGACCGTTTTATTAGATAAATAGGCCAAGAGTTTATGGTGCTATTTCACAACAGTCATTGTGTAGTAATTGCTACCAACAGTTAATTACAATTATGATATGATAATGTAGCACTGAAGGTAAATGACATAATGAAATTTAGACTATGTACAAAGATGACATACTGCCACGACACAAATTGTTCTGAATCGATGTGCTATTTACAGCGTTCTAATAATAAAGAACGAATAAAACAGATATTAAGCTATGAAGAAGAAATGTTTACAGCAACTTGAGTGTCAAATATACTTTTAGTAATAGAACGAATATCGATATTTCAAACATACTTTAAGGAGTTCAATGAAAAAATACAATCAAACCAAATTGGTCGAATAGCTAATTATAAGAGCTATTTTCAAAGTAAAAATTTGACACTCCTCATACTAATAGATTTCATTTGATCTTCCTATACAGTACAAATTTCAATTTATGATCTGTTTCGATGAATCTTAGGAATTTCGTGACTTCTTGGCATTGCTAGAGGAATCTAACGTTTGATTTGTCACTGCTGAATCAGTCTGATTGCTTGTTGCTGATGGTATATCCCACTTACTCTTCCTTTTCCGGTTTGCATCATCTCCTTAACGATAGAAATATACTATTCATTATCAATGCATTCCGTATTTAACGATTTACATGTAGCGCAATTAAGCTTTCTCAACAAGGCACTCTAGAAAGTGATGTTAGTTCGAATTTAAGCAGAGCAAAAATCGATTACAAACTTTGTCACATGCTTAGTTTACAAGTAATGGTACTGCTAGATAATACCTACCAGAAGCAGAGTTTGTAGTAGAAGAAGCATTTCGCTTCACGACCTTCACAAAATCAATCTAACAACACGTAACCGCATGGGTCAGTATATAGTTACAATACCTTGTACAACTATTAACATTAACTCAAGACTTGGAAATGACTATGTCAAGTCAATCTGTGCCATAGTAATTATATGGAATCAAGCAAGTTTTACTACAACAATTATAGCCGATATAACCTGAGTGCGACTTTGTTTAGCCTTTTCTTTCTTCTCATATGTTTCCTTCTGTACTTTTGCTATTAAAAATTTTGATACATTTAGAATAGGAAATTTTAACAGAGAACACCTTAGTGTTTAGGGATCAATACAACGTATTACCTATTGCATTGTAATAGTCATGTTTATCCCATAACTTTGGGTTGTACATTTCCTGCATAAAAAATTACAAATGATAGTTAAATACGGTAGTAACATAAAAGTAATCAATTTAATATAGAATTATCTATTAGTAATAGTAAATCATTCAAAACTTGTCATTATAAAAAGCTTACAGCTGGATAATTGGTTCCAGTTTCGTCTATTGCACAAAATTCCACTAATTTCTCATATATACTACATAAAAGATGTCAGACAACAACTTTAGTTAAATTGGTATCTTATTTTGTAGTCCATTAATCTACAATATCCAAGATTTATGAGACTAACCTGGGATTCCTAAAGTTCTTCCGTTTTTCCAAAATTTTATTCATATTACTGTCCATCTTCCTGGCTAGCATCGTTATAATTTTTTTCTGAAATTGTTCATCGGTTCATGAAAACTACATGTTACTACAGGTTTCCTTAATGTTTTAGCTTAATTACGATAAAGTAGCAAAGACTTCTTCTATCATACCGTATGATGCAGCAATTACTATCATTGACTCCAATTCTAAAACATAATCACCTGCACATTCAGAGAATGAATCCCATCCGGTTCAGGAGGTAACTGAACTCTATCAATTTCGTCTTGATCTGTATTAACTAGCTTACCTAAAAAGAACATCAAACGATCATTAAGTTTATTATCAATACATCTCCAGAATAATAAGTGAGACTACAAACAAATTCTACCGTTTAGTAACGAACCTTTAGCAGAGTCATCATCCGACTCGCTAACGTAGAAAGCAGCCTAAATGAAATAAGTTCAAGCTACTCTTGAGTAACATTGTAACGTCAACATGCAATCATACAAAGAACGATAGAAGGATAGTTCAAATTGGCTAATGCTATAACCTACAAAAGTATTCTACTTACCTTTCCATTGGCATGCAGGTCTATTGAAAATAAAAAAGTACATCATTACTTCTAGAAGTAGGATAGATTATTACATTAAACGAGTATCAATGTCAATTGAATTCATATTTCGGTTTAAAAAGACTTTAAAATACCTGTAGCGGAGTCGGATACCACCGTTGGTTCTGCTGCCTAAAAGACATCAATTATTGGATTTCAGTGTTTTAATCTTGTAAACGAGCTTGCAAGCTACTGCAGTATCTAACTAGCAGTACGTCTATTTACTGTACGATTTAAATTATTGTAACATTGGATATATATCTATACAACTAGCTACGTCTATGTCCATTTTTAAATCTAATGGATATCATTGTCTATTAACAATGTCTACGTAATTATTTCGTTAATTATACCTTAAAAGCAGAATCTTCATCTCTGTACTCTACTAAGCTATCTATATTAAATTAAAGAAAAGGACGATCATCAGAAGCTAATTCATGATTAACTGGAACAATAAACAAGCAGAGTCATCATCGAAGATCAGAAAAGTTGATAGAAATTGAAATTAAAACATGCCGATAGAACTTCTGGCATATTTCATTTTCAATTGATTGACGGTAAGTAGATTAGCAACATACTGTGTTACAAATTCTAAGTAAACTGCTCCGATTGATTGCAGGAGCAGAAAGGAAGAGATCGATTCCATCCGCTATCACTTGCTACAGTACTGCATGAAATAAGACTACAACAGTCATCATCATGATACAGTCAACGAATCCATGTCGTCATAACCCACCACTGAAATGCATTTCACATACAACTAATACTATGAGATTGGCAACAGACCACTTTAGATAGTCAAAATTACAAATGTAGCGACAGTTGAAGTTACTAATCCTGCCTTGGCAAAGTTTCAACTGCAAATATAGTAGTAGGTAATAAGTGAATGAGGTAACAACGCATTTAGATTTGAACGTATTTCATTTATTTAATCCATCACTACATGATCAAGTCTAGAACAATCATAAACGGTAAATTAGATTCTAGTCCTGAAAATAACTATCGTTGTTCCTTCAATTCGTTTGAATCATCGTCTGGATCACATTCAACGCCATACCAACATCCACTATCCTATCCATACTCCATACTGTCCTGTAGCGGCTTACTAACGTAAGATACTCGTACCTATTGTTACTGTCAACACCCATGACCACATTTAAAAACTGATTCGGTAAAATCCACATTATTTATCATCGGCATTTCCCTACTTCTACTTCGCTATTCCTTAAGCTAATTCAACTTACCCTTATTTCTATCTTCTTGTTCATCTTCATTATCACTATCGGCGCCGTAATTAACAAGAGAATGCAGCGATGCCATTGCTTTTACTTTGGGAAGTTTTCAAGGCGCACACGATCCGAGTGGTAGCCGCTCGGCGTGATGCGCAGCCGTAGATCAGCATTGACACGAATGCCGGGTACTATCCAAGAAGAATGTCACTATTGTCTATACTTCTTATGCATGTTATAGTGACATTATTTTTGCTAGTCCATTCGGTCCCTTACAAATCGTTCAAAAGCAGTAAGTGCTGCATAATAATTCTGTCTGTATTACCCAGGTTTGGTACAGTACGCAATCGCTCGCATTGATCAATACAAAACACTACAGTAAACTGCAGTAGTCTATACTGTAGTATGATTTGTACGGTTCTACAGTATACTGTACTGTACTGTACATGTACAGTATAATACTCTACAGTACATTGTACTGTAAACTGTACAGTACTGTAGCATTTTCACACAACTTGACTCGGACTATGCCAAGGCATCTCGCACCATCGATGGATAGGCTGTCTTTTCTTTCCTTTTACGCAGAGTTGTTCAATGAAAAAGGAAGAAGAACAACCTATGGCTAGATCACGTTGGTATTAGCGATACCTTTGCTTTTACTTTGGGAAGTTTTCAAGACGCACACGATCCGAGTGGTAGCCGCACGGCGTGATGCGCAATCGTAGATCAGCATTGACATGAATGCCGGGGACTATCCAAGAAGAATGTCACTATTGCCTATACTTCTTATGCATGTTATAGTGACATTATTTTTGCGTGTCCATTCGGTCCCTTACAAATCGTTCAAAAGCAGTAAGTGCTGCATAATAATTCTGTCTGTATTACCCTGGTTTGGTACTGTACGCAATCGCTCGCATTGATCAATACAAAACACTACAGTAAACTGCAGTCGTCTTTTTCCACTAGTCTATAGTATGATTTGTACGGTTCTATACTGTACTGTATAGTACTGTACATTGTACTGTAAACTGTACAGTACTGTAGCATTTTCACATAACTTGACTGGGACTATGCCAAGGGCATCTCGCACCGTAGATGGATAGGCTGTCTTTTCTTTCCTTTTACGCAGAGTTGTTAAAGGAAAAAGGAAGAGCAACAACCTATGGCTAGATCACGTTGGTATTACCGGCTTCTACGCCTGTTCACAGTAATGAAAATGACGCCATTAAGGCTGAAAAAGAGTTTTGTACCCAACTCATATTGTACAGTATAAATGGTAGAGAATAAAGTGAGTCAGTACAGTTACTGTACTGTATATACAGTACTGTATACTGTATGTGTGCGCGCGATGCGTAGTCCACGGACAGGAGGATCAGACAGACCCACTGCCCGTTGCCAGGGATACCATTCTACGGCACCCATTTTAACGAAAGGCAACGATACGAAATACGATCAGTGTTGCTATAGCTTGCTCCTTGTTACTCATTAACTCATACTTTAGTAATCTTATTAAATTGTACTATTAACTTAAAATTAAAATCAAGGTCGTTTTTATTAATCCTCCGAAAGAAACGGAATTGGCCTGTTTATACGACTGCTTATGATCCCAGTGCCAAAATCATTACATTAATAGTCAACACTCGTGTAAAATTACCGATATACGCGTCTCATCGCTTGTACGCAAACAACCGGGCTACCGGTACACTAGTTTTAGTGATAGCAAACGATATACGTATTACTGTGGGTATCAGCCGTAATTTCGGATAGAACTTAGCTTTCTTGCAGCAAAACATCACAAAAAGTCTATGCAATATATTGTACAAGATGATCGTACCAATATTCACGCTTAGGTTTAATCATAAAATTTTCGCTGGTTTGACTACAGTTGGCCTCTATGATGGCAAACATCCTTGCTTAACGTGTGCTACCACAGCCGGAAAGGTAAATACGAGTAATTGCCTTATTTTGAGATAACTGCAAACACTTAATCTTGTATACAAAAAGCAATATGAAATTCGAGTAATATCGACGATATTACAATGTATGATTGCCAATGGCTAAATTATTAACAAATTTTGGATAAGGGATAGTTTTATATATGTGTAGCGATCTAGACATCAGGCAGTTGCATATAATGAAATGTATTAGTGAAGAAAGTATTCTACCTTATGCTGTGTTATGTACCTTAGTATAAAACATACACAAAGAATGAACTCAACGAGGAGATAGTTAAGCCATTTACTAGCATCGTTGTTTGCTAGTACATTTGATGTATGTATACTACATAATTAGCTGAAAAGGTTAATCTTTTAATGATAAATCTAAGTTTAATTATTGAGATACAATTCCAAGTTATTCCTTTGCTTAGACAATGCGTGATTATGGACTTGGCTGCTTTGATAAATTAACGCAGTTCATAAGCAGCTGTTTCTAAAATTAAATTCTGAGCCTATGACGAACTTCTAGCTTATGGTTAATAGATATTTTACCATTCTTGTCTCGCATGATTTGAATTTGTTTTGATCTAATGAAGCTGAATCGACTAAATACCTATGAATAAAGGCTACTCTATATTTAGCAGTATATACTATATTTTACTGTATTGCCTAAGTTGAATAAAAATCTTCGTTCAGTAAAAATGGGTAGTGGACTAAAGTATTCATTATCACGTAATGTAGTAAATCTTTATCTCTTGCTGGCTATGGCTGAAGCGGTTAGCAAGTTAAGAATGCTACTCAGTAAATGATTCTACCCCAAATTTCTCAATTTGTTATAAAACTATGATTCTGTACTTGTAATTTATCATTTTGCTGTATTGTATGTGCGAATAACTCTATTGTATATTATATCGTTTTATATACGCGTATGAATGATACTTATACGCTATCACTATATCGAAATGTGTATGGCAGAATGGCATCAGTTCATGTTCGTGACTATTGGCATCTTTATTCAAAAAACAATTCAATCTTTATCTGCTTGTGTAACACAGTTATTTATTATTATAGTTTATACTTTGCATCTAGTTGATACTCGATCTCTTAAAAGATACTATATTTGTATTCAAGCACATTATGGCTGGTTTTCAATGTTTACTCTTTCAGTTCCCGTGTTACGATTACATCTGATTTACAATAGCTAGCTTCTAAAAGTAATTGACTACTTATGGTCTGGCTATCTATATCAGTTCACATTGAGGGTACTTATTTGCTCTTTAATGGCTCCGTCCTATTGCAATAATTGTAGTAGCTATCGTAAGACTGCAACAACAGTTTATTAAATATTTCGGATAAGCTAAATAATATTATTACTCAAAGGAGAATTCTGAGATTCAATGCAAAAAAAAGCTGGAGTACAACTAGCGAATTCTTCATACTCTGGGCTTAAATTTTCAATTTTACTAATAATTTAGATCTGAATTAAGCAAACGAAATTAGATCTGAAGTTTACTGCTCACTGTCCAGCTAAATAATTGCATTATAATTTTCACTACTTATACATATTATATTTAAACGATCGAATTCTTCCGCATATGAGATCGTAAATAAAATTGCTCGCAACCAATGTACATGTTCATAGTAAGTATTTCTATGAACAGTATTATTTATAAGTATTAAAATAATACAGTACTATACGTGTAGTATAACAAAGTCAGTTTGAAACTATCAATCTATATCTAGTATACGTATCTCAGATCAATGTTGCTTTAATACCATAGTATTGCACTGTACTTTGATATATACAGTATACAGTATGTACACTTTTACAACACAGTACAGCATTATCATTACAGTAACTGCGTTGTCTACTATACTTGGGGTGCTGTGAGGTTCCGCCAGTTACGCTAACGCTACCGATATACTGTATTTTGAGAATTTTAATTTGGTAATCGTCATTCAATGCTCCCTTATATTAGTTAATAGGCAATAAATGCGTCAAATTGCTACTGTTTTTACGACACAGAATAATAGGTTATGATATTACGTCAAATTAATTGCAAATAAGAGAATATTCGTTCGCAGATAGATAACGTGTAACGTGTAATAGCCAATATCTTCTTTGGCTGTATTCGATGCAGTACTATGTAAACGCAAAAGATTACTTTACGGTAGATATTCATATTACACCTTCGTAGCGATCTAAGCTTTAATTATTCAAAGTTTTTGGCACACATCCATTTCGTTAAATAACAGACTATAAGAACGAGAAATAACCAATTTAATTTATAAAATTTTCTGTATTGAAGTTCAAAATCGATGCAGATGATTGAAATTGGTTTATTAATGATGATAAAAAATAAATTTTGATACATATGCGATAATACTTTATGCAATGTCTAGATCAAATACAATGACTAAAGAAATAGCATTCGTCTACATATTCCTATATCGGCATTATTAAAATATTTATATAATTATTTTGTAGTCGGTAGTATGCAATAACACCATAAAACTTCTTTTTTTAGATATTGGTTCATAATCCTCACGCAAGGTTCAATGAAGGTGGCCGTATAAGTGCTGGAACCGAATCGGACGTACATTTACTGAATATAGGACAACAAATAACCGCTTTAACTGCTGGTGCTTTGAATTCGAATGTAAATAAAGACTTCTTAGTTGCTGGGACACAAACGAGCATTCTAGCCTATGATGTTGATCAAAATGCAGATTTATTCTACAAGGATGTATGTTAAATAACGATTAATACAGTAGCTAGCATGGCCAGATACTTATCGAGTTAATATGATTATGATGAAAAACTTTAGGTAATAAATAGCATCGTTGGCTATATTTATATTTCAGGTTGCAGATGGAGTAAACGTTGCTGTTGTAGGTCAATTAGGCCAAATTGATTGTCCAATAGCAGTTGTGGGTGGTAACTGTTCTATACAAGGATTCGACTACGAGGGCAATGATTTATTTTGGACAGTAAGTAGAAGTTATTAGCTTTAAATGGATGAAATTAATCCTATTATTATACTGAACGGCAATTGAACCGTGAACTATTTCAGGTTACAGGAGATAACGTTCGAGCAATGGCGTTATGCGACTTCACGCGAGATAATGAGCAAGAGGTATAGTGTAGCATATGCTCTACATCCACCATCGTCTTTAACAGTCTTAATTGTTGTAAACGGGGTGTTATTTTATAATAGATATCTAATAATTATTTTTCTTGTTGAGTTAGTATTCATGTACCTCATACTTTCCTTCACAATAGACTATAGCATTTGTAAGGCGACAAGATGATCGTAAATTAATACATTTCTTCTCATTTGATTTCTCCTAATACAGTTAATAGTTGGCTCCGATGACTACGATATACGTGTATTCAAGAAGGACGAATTAGTTTCAGAAATGACAGAAACAGAAGTGCGAAATACTTAATAAGTTTATTATATTATCATTATAATTATGTTTTAATGAAATTTTCCGTACAATGTGCCAATTTGTCTCTACGTTTTAATGTTTACTTTACCTAGGCTGTGACATGTCTTTGCCCTATGTCAGGTAGTAAATTTGGATATTCTCTAGCTAATGGTACTGTTGGTGTTTATGACAAAACAACACGATACTGGAGGATTAAAGTAAGTTGATAATTAGCCTATTACATATTAATTTCTACAGAATACGCAAAAATCAGCTCTAACCTCGCAACTGTAGTAGTAGCATAATTTTTCAATTTTTTATTGATTACACTATATTGGTCTTATAGTCTAAGAATCAGGTAGTATCAATATTTAACTACGATCTTGATGGTGATGGTGTTGTCGAGCTGATAACTGGATGGTCGAACGGAAAGGTAATCAAATTTCCTTCTTTTACTTTTAATTCTACGATCGTGAAGGTAAGTAGCTTTACTTTAAAGATTTCAGCTAACGAATCATTGCCATTTTATGCTAAAATAGGTTGATGCTCGCAATGATAGAACTGGAGAAGTTATGTTTAAAGATAATTTTCCAAGTTCGATTGCTGGAATTATAAAGGTATAACAGTACATGGATAGTTTTATAATTTCCAAGAGACAAAGCTAATCTCGTTTATTAACAGTATATGTTATATTGCTAAAAGTTCAATTTCTTATCAGGCTGATTACCGAATGGATGGGCAGCAAGAACTTATATGTTGTTCTATTAACGGAGAAGGTAAATTTAGTAATTTGTTCATAATCTAAATATTAATTGAATTGATAAAAGTAGGCATTATATGCAGCTCTATACATTAATTATACTTGATATTAAAGGCTTAGTAGTAAGACTTTTTCAATCAATATTCATGTAGTACTTACTTTAATTTATTTCTTTAAGTTCGAGGTTATTTACCTATGGAACAATCAGGTGGCACTACAGCTCCGACAACAGAAAAGGACGTATTTAGGGAGCTGAGCCTTAAAAAACAGGTCATAAATTTAGAATTAACTTACTACTGCATATATCAAATTATTAAAGTATCTAAATATTTTTGCAAAATCTTGTAACAAAAGTTAATGCTATATTGTGCACTATTGAAGATTACGTTTGTAATAAATGATAAATAGCAAAGTAGTTAAATTATATTTAAATTTTTGTCCATAGATACTTACATATATAGATAGCAAGTAATTTCCATTGCTCGATCTAACGTAAAATTTATTTGGTAACAGAATCTGTTAACTGAACTAAAAAATTATGAAAAAAATGTGAAAGCGCATAAGTTGCCTGTAGGACTAGAAAAGAGCGAGATTGATGGAACTCCAGTGGGATTAATACCAGTTCAGTAGCCTATTGATTTCTACTGATACATTATCGCGTATTACATTGATTAGGTTGAATAAACTTCAGTTACCTAAGCATCCAATTTCATGACATCTTTTACGCCATATTATAGGCTAACACGCAGCTGCTTGTAACCCTTGATGTTAGTCCTGGCGATGCAAATATACAGGTTGAGATAGTTACTTTCCTGATTTCCTAAATTGAGAAAATTTATTTGAGTGTTCTCAAGATAACTATATTTTAATAACCGTATTTAATTCGCATTTCTAGCCTCACATCGTTCTTCACATATCTACCAGCAATGGTTAGCGTTTCATAATAATTACAATGGCTTTATGTACTTTTACTGTATTAGTTCATTTTATTCGCGTTATAACATTACTAAGAGTACCATTATTTTTTTTAGATACTATCCTTCGAGCAATTATTATATTTGCTGAAGGAATATTTAAAGGCGAAAGTCATGTAGTGTAAGCTTTGATAAATATCTAGAGATTTGTGACAAGTACAACAAGAATCGCAAATTACAGTATAGTTATGAACGAGCTATTGCAGTTTTAATATGGACATTTTATCCATTTATTTCTTCATTAGCCATCCGAGTCCTCAAAATGTAAGCAATAAGTTAGATGTTCGAATATTTCCACAAAAAGATGGCGTTGTAGATTTGCATATAAAGGCTCTAGTCGGTTACAAATCAAGGTATACGAAATGGTTTAATGAACTGTCATCAAATACAGTTCGCTAACTCTATTCTGCAATTTAATATGCTATTGTCTAGCGTTCAATTTCATACATTTGAAATGACACGCCAAATTCCAAGATTTACCTTATATATCGTGGCTCCTGATGATACACCGGAACCCAAATCATCCGTGGTTTTTCATATCACCGAAAGAATAAATAGGGTAAGGAAGTTATGCAATGTATTTCAGTGCTGTCATCGCTTTACTATCTGTGGTCGAGGTTAAAAATGAGTGTTTATTCTGATTGTAAAATATCATTGACTTGGCTCTAGGTTGTTATGTGGATAAATCAAAACTTTTTATTACAAAAGGAAATTGAAGCTGAGGATGAGCTTAATGTTAAATTGATATGTTTACGAGAAAATACTCCCTTGTTTGTGAATATGGAACCAAATCAAAATGGCAAAGTAGAATATATTATTGCTTCCCTAACTTTATGCATAATAATATTAAAGTACTACAATCCTACTCCTTTATTTTTTTAAGATTACTATCAAAACAGATAATATGGATCTTGCTGGTGACATAATCCAGGGATTAACAACTTTTTTAGGGATCGAGGTTGGAAAAAATTAATTTAAATTGATATTAAAATATCTTTGTAGCTGATATCAATCTAATATATGTGATATATTCGAGTATGTATGAAATTATCCTTTTCATTATAAGGACCTGCAAGTTACGGCAGATTTTCCAGATTACTTAGGATACCTACGAAGTGTCCTTGAAAAGGTAATCTTGTTGTATATGTCGTTATGTGGTATTTCTAATTTTGTGTTATTAGGAGTATGGTTGAAACAAAGTATTACTTCATAATTACTACATTATACTATAATAACTAGGTTGATGAATATCACTCGACAAGTGAGAAGCTTACTGCAGAAATGGCTGATCATTCAAATCTCATTCGAAGTTTAATAGTTAGAGCCGAAGATGCTCGTATAATGGGCGATATGTACGTACTATAGTAATTTCAAAAATCTTGTAGATGGTTCCCTAAGCTAATTCATTACTAAAAGGCTGTAAAATTCTGAATACTGAGATCAATTTATCCAATGCCATCCCTACTTAGGCTGAACATGAAAAGAGGCTACATGGAACTAAATACCGTCAATCGCGATCTGATAAGCCAATATAGCATTCGATGTAATAATCATACGGAGCTGTTATCTAATTTAAAGATTGTTAATCAAACTATACAGAAAGCGGGAAGGCTAAGAGGTAATATTGCTGCAGTGGAATGATTTAGTGAACAATTATAATTAGTAGTGTTTATCAAGTATGCCTTGTTTGTGGAAGTATACGCGTATTACTTGTTACGATATCATTCAAAAGCGCGACAGTAATTTTCTACTATTATCTTCTCTTACAAAGTTGGCAAATCTAAAACCCAAGTCATAGCAGCATGCAGAGCCGCAATTAAATCCAATAATATTAGCAGCCTGTTCAAGATTATTAAAGCTGGTTCATCGTAGTTATGTGGGGTGTTGAATAACTCTAATTTGAAAGACAAGCGTACCATTTGTAGGCAGATCCTGTACTAGTATATTTGACTCACATCCTGCATAAGATTCGACCATGAAAGTCGTAGACTAATTCGCTTTGCTATTCGATTAAGACAGATTGTACAATCCTAACGGTGATTGTCTTGATTTACGGTCAATTTACTAATTTAGACTTGATTTTGATGCATGCAATCTTATGCATTTGGATATATGCGGTGCGAACATGTGTTTTACGTCTTCCAATGTCGTTCTGATAGTTCATGGTGTTCGTCTCTACTCAAATGGTAATTCCTGTGTAGTTGTTTTCAATAACTTTTTCTTTTTTCTATGCTAACTATAACTGTACATGCTTCAGATTTACGCAGTTGAGTTTCGGTTATTTTAACCACGCTGATTCATTCGTATAATCTGACATTACAGTATACTGTATAGCATAATGATAATAATAATTATTAATACGATATCACTACTTGAGCAAATTTGACCACGAAAGCTACAGCCATAGGCTATCGAAGTATACTATATCTGTTTAGGCGCTTTTAGCAGTCTATGCTTGTAGTATTCGATTTCTATTACGTATGCGTACTTTATCATTATAGACTATAATTGCATCCGTAATTTCTATCTGCAATGTATAAAACTACTATCCAAAGTATCCGTACTGACTGTGAGTTAGAATTATCGACATTTTTAAAGGTTCTATTGTAAAATACATGTACCGTGTACGCGTATGCGTACAGTTATTGAGTGAATTAACAATAATTATGAATAAATCATAATATCATGTGCATTCGAAATACTTTATACAATCTTCAAGATGAGGTAATAACGCTGTCGTGGACGACTGTAAAGTCGTGATAGAGTAAATTAATAATAGTTATGAAAACAGTCAGTCAAGATATCGTGTGCATTCGATATACTTTATACAATCTTCAATTTCATGGAGGCAAAAGGATATGAGATGAGATAATAACGTTGTCGTGGACGACTGTAAAATCACTATTGAGTGAATTAGTAATAGTTATGAAAACAGTCAGTCAAGATATCGTGTGCATTCGAAATACTTTATACAATCTTCAATTTCATGGAGGCAAAAAGGATAAGATGGGGGGGGGGGGGGTAACAACGCTTCTGTAAGTGTACATTATGTACCGTACATTGAGTGTACTGTACAGTGTACAGCGCGATTAACTTCGGTGGCACTAAGGAAAGTAAACTGTGTAGGCAAAATCAAGCCCAAAGTAGATAAAAATCTTATAGATATCGATTTTGAACAGGAGTGTTGACAAATTGCAACTTTTAATTTTCGACGCCATCTTGCCATCGAAGTTAATTCATGGCGTTGTTGTACAATGTACAGTACTGAGCAGTACAGTACACTGAGTATAGTGAACACTGTGAGTACTGTACTGTAGTCAGTGTACAGTACGTACTGTACTGTACTGTAGATAGAATTTTACAATGTACAGTACAGTACAGTACAGTACTGAGCAGTACAGTACTGTACACTGAGTACAGTACAGTACTGTACAGTACTGTATAGTGAACACTGTGACGACAGTACAGTACTGTATACTGTACTATACACTGTACTGTACTGTACAGTGTACAGTACTGTACTAGCGGACAGTGTAGTCAGTGTACAGTACGTACTGTAGATAGAACTTTACAATGTACAGTACTGAGCAGTACAGTACACTGAGTATAGCGAACACTGTGACGACAGTACAGTATACAGTACGCTGTACTGTACTGTACTAGCGGACAGTGTAGTCAGTGTACAGTACGTACTGTAGATAAAACTTTACAATCAGATGTTTAAAATACGCGCCCACCAATCAGAGAAGATCACTGAAAGCGAACTACCAATAACAATGAAGCTCGTTTGGCGGTATTTTTAAGTGGGATAACGGCCAAATCTGTCAATGAAAAAAAATTTGCACGCCAATTCAGAAAAATAAGAGGTTGTAGTCGCTTCGTTTTGTTGCTATGGCGGAATCGGAGTCAAGACGAAAATATCAACACCAAACAGTTGGCATTCTTCTGACATTCATTTAGCCAAAGTTCTATAGAGTCTGTCTATGGTGTATGCCGTAATCAACAGTTTAATACTTGTATTTATTGTCGATATTAGTACTGTATCAATGAAAGTTGAGGAAAATTGACGCAGTAAAGTTGGAAAGCTCGGTTATTGAATCGCTGCGTTTTTACTGTATAGTTATGATTACAGGCAATGATTTAAGAGGAAAAAAAAATGAAGGATACAGTACCCTGAGCTTTGTCTCTATTCGTATTCAATGATTATTCTCCAATGCTCACTGCTTATATAAAATAAAATTAAAATGGAGCAGGATGATTAGACATGCCATTTTCATATTTTGATACTCATTGAAACGAGATAGTCCAAACTCCCACCATGTACTTTATCGAAATAGTCAAATACTGTACAGTAGTATGCCTGGAATTATTTTTCTGACGTTTAGTAATAGAAGGTAAAGAGAGATGGCATAAAATGGAGCTGATCGTTTAGCTAAGTAAAAGTAATTTATCAAAAGCTACTAAAAAAAATGTTATTCTGGCATTTTTTTACTCGCTCCTAGTATCCATTTATTAACTACAAGCCCCTGCTACAATACTGTACAGTAATTTTGCGCTTTGAAGAAATGCTGCAGTCAAGCTGTTGCCTATTGCTTCAGTGTTTTCAACACTTTGAGCAAGTCAATCTGCGTCACATGAGTGTGCATGAGTGGAACGCGCTGACGTGCTCATCTATTGTCCGATACGAGTGTACGTACGACGGTACAACGTACGCGCTTGAGCTGACGCTAGGCCTACTGTCTTGTGGTCATTACACACCATCGCACCAGTGGTTCCCCTCCATTTTCTCTTGGCTCTCTTACTACCTGGTGTGCTCGACGCGGTACGCGCCATTTTCACTACACTGTAGTCATTTCTCTATCAATTTGAGACATCGATTGCGTCTAAGAACTTTTTGCTTGCCTCTTGCGTAATCTTCTCTTCCTACACTGGACTTCCTTTGAATAATTTGCATTTACTTTATTCCTACTTATCCTAGTTAATCTCTTTGCTATGGATACTCTTCATTCCCTTGGGTAAGTTGAAAGTCAATCATGACCTAATCTTGTCTCTCTCTATTTTTTTTTTCCAATTCAAAAATCCCATTTTTCACTGTCTCTCCATCGACTCAGTAAGCTCCTTGAGATAGCATGCATAATGCGTTGTAGTAGCTCAGTGAAAAAATGGCGTTTTGAAATTGGAACATAGACAATGTTATTTCTAATGATTGCGCCTATTTTACCCACATCATATTGTTAAACTGCAACTTGTTAGTGTCAAAAAGAATAGTCTATTTCTTCTTCTTTCCTTGACTTGACTTTTCATGGTCAAGGATGTTCTTTCAATCAAGGTGTGACTAATTGGACAGGGATCAAACAATTTTATTCCACTCCTTGTCTTTCACTAGCTTACACATTGTGGGTGCTCTATGGTATAGCAATGCTCTTTCCTTCAAAGCGAAATTAAAATGCTCTTACATTTTTATTCGCTCCTTGACATTCAGTGATGTATTTGTTAAAAATGACGAGTTGATGAATAAACAGCGAGCGGACTAACAACCAAGTTAGTTCATAGCTCATACCGTGATAAGTCAGTGTCAACATATTCACCCGCTGTAGAAATTTTTGAGTTATCGTATCCTTTACCCTGCCTTGCAAAGAGTAAAACTGATTCGATCATTTCATTGGCAGCAATTTAGTCCTGAAATTGAACATGTCATCATTCAACACATTACTGATGCAGTGATCAGTATTTTCTTCCATCCGGTTCTTTAAACACATTATTATTGGAAGTTTTATTTATTTCATGACCGGTACTGCAGCTCAGACCATGGACGAGTTTCTGAAATTGACCATGTGATCATCAACATAGTATAGGGTTGTCACTATTTTCTTCCATCTTATTCCATTCCATTACTATGGATCAATTTACAGCATTTCATTGATGACGATGATGTGGTCATCAGCCTTTCCTCCCATCTAGCCATCTTTCTCATGCTAGAGATGATCAGTTTATTTTCTTCCTAGTATTTCCTCTCATACAGGGCTATAGTTATTCCTAAAATTGATCACTTGATCATCTTTTAATGGACGTAGTAGTTATGGCAGGGATTTTCTAAAAATCGAAAAAGAAATCTTAGAATTTGATTTTTCAAAGTCCTTGAGAGTATTCACAGAATCTACACTATCGATTTCATATGAAGGCCATGCGGTGGGAGCACTCTATTTTGGATAATTCCGATCTTATTTGATATTCATAATGACTGATCTTTACTCATCATTCACTCTTCATGCAACCATCCAAGATTTTTACCATGCTTATGTAGCGAAATGTTGACCTGTAGTTTGCTCAATTTTAATCCTACTCCATAGTACGGTTGCGGGTCATCTCTGAAACTTTCTGATGTTGCTAAATAAAAATAGATCGCCATGTTAATAGTGTGCTAGAAGAAAATGCGATAGTTATTTTAGAATGAGCACAATCCCTTGTAGTTTTTGACATTTGGTTCGCACTTGAATTCTCATTTTGTTGATCAACTGACAAAGTGTTAAAATTACTAATTTTGTGGAGTTGTTTGCACCGACTATGCACCGCCAATTCTTGATGATATTTCCCAATGATTTTATAATTATGCAACCGCTCCTGCAAAATGCTTACCATGATTTTTGTTACACTAGTTTGCTGACAAGCATACTCTTCGACATATAATATAGTCAATATCAATATTTTATGACAATGTCTGTGCTTGCCCAGAATTTACGTATCTGAAGGATGTATAATTGCCAACTAATTTCCCTTGATATGATAGTAATAGATATGATTTGCGTAAATCATTAAATAGAACTTTCTTAGATACAGCTCTATTAACGTTTCTAATAATACTCTGCAGAAATTTCGATCGGAAAATGACTGTAGAATTGGAATCGAAGACGATAAACAAAAGTTGATGCTGATATGTTTACCTTGCGAGCATAAATGTGTATTGAACAGCTTTCTCAATATAATATAGCGCAGTCGATCTACCTCGCCATTAGCCTTATCGCTTGTCCTGTATACTGTACGATGCTACGTTGATCACCATTTTTGATCACGTATAACACAGTTACATGAAAAGATAATTATAATAATTGTTATCTACATTCTTATACGCGTATCGATAGTGCAACAGTATACGAATACGTCATTAAATCTTTCTTTACTGTATGTACCAAAGCCAATACTAACGCCATTTTGGGGGTTTTTATCATGTTTAGAAGTAGCTGTGGCAGTGGAGACGAAGATGATGACGATGGCACGTTTAATTCGTCTGCTTCATTACCCGATGACTCGTGTCGCAAGAAGTGCAAGAATAAGACGCGATGGACTAAAGAAGAAGTAAGTCCGCCTTATGTATTAAATTAATTATACTTAAATAAAGTATACTAATAGAGTTGATTACTAATACAGAATTGTAACTTGGAGTCAGCTTGTATCTCGATATCATAGAGGGAAACAGATACATGCTGCATAACGATTGTTTGCTTACTCGTATTCCATCTTGATCATATGCATTCTTATTCGTATTTATTTTTAAGAATTCTGGTTTGTTTCACCAATGACAACAAATTTATAGATTCTGTAACGTAATCAGCTTTCAATCGTATTTTTGCTTCCATAAATGTCACTCTAAATTATAATACTAATGCTAAAGGATGAAAAGTTGAAACGATACGTTCACGTACATAAAGACAATTGGCGATCTGTGGCTGATAATTTTACTGATAGATCGGAATTGCAATGTCAGCATCGCTGGCAAAAAGTTCTTAATCCTGAACTTATTAAAGGACCATGGACGAAGGAAGTAAGCATACGCTCGTATATATTACTTGCAGCAAGTTTAAGAATATTGATAATAATTTTGTAAACTGCTACAGTGACATACTATAGTAACTCACTTTCATACTCTCATTAGGAAGACGAAAAGATCGTACAACTTGTACATCAGTATGGTCCTAAACGTTGGTCGTTAATAGCAGAAAAGTTGCAGGGAAGAATTGGAAAGCAATGTCGAGAAAGGTATATTTACTAGAGATAGGATCATCGCCGACATACCATTTCTATACTATTATGGTGCATATAGGTTGTAACGATGTCTTATGCTATACATATATTACTAGATGGCACAATCACCTTAATCCTGACATAAAGAAATCGGCTTGGACTCAAGAAGAAGATCAAATTATATACGAATCGCATAAAAAGTTAGGAAATCGTTGGGCAGAAATTGCAAAATTACTCCCTGGAAGGTTAAAAATTATGTTAAAATTAGTTTTGAGATTAGCGCCAATAAAACATCATGCACTATAATCGTATATACGTATACGAGTACTGTATATGATGGACACAATTCTTATAGTTTTTTTTTTTTATGATGGGTATGGAAATTTATTACTGATCAATTCATTCGGCTTCGTGTACAACTTTTAGAACTGATAATGCTATCAAGAATCACTGGAATTCGTCGATGAAAAGAAAGATCCATGTATACGAACAGAGATCAAGAGATGCACTAATACGCCGTCACGGTAGCCAGAGAAATTCTAATCGAACCCATATTGTGAGTAAAATACAGCACAGTACTGTATACTGTACATCGTAATTTTTGTGTCTTGCTTTGAAAGCAATACTTGATAGCAATCGTCTAAGTTTATACTGGCCAATGCCGTGTGATGTTGATGACAATGGCTTCGAATTTTAAAAAATTGTTGCTAAATTATATGTACATTATATACAGTATTAATGAATTGATATTTCCGTCTATCTGCCCATGTATATGTGAATATCTACTATTGCTTATGTGGTATATAGTTTGACACATCGATGCAATCAACTGCTGAACAACAGAAACATTATCGAAAAGGTTACATTGATAGTATTCCATTTATAAAGTTATTTATACATAGTATGAGACTAATTCCTTTCGAAATTTTATTTCTTGATTGTAGAAATGAGTAAACCTTACAAAAAAGTTACGATAATCGGAAATGGTCCTGATAAAGAAAATACAAGTCAAATTTATAACGTACAGACTGTGAGTAATAATTCGTCATCCAGCAATAAACAGCCGCACCCATTACAACCGATTGGTAGTGTAACTCCTGTTAGACCTTCACAGCAACTTGTTGGCGAAGAAAATGTTGATTTAGCAGATATGTTGTCTCCTTTTAAAGGTATAAATTTTATCCACTTCAAACATTTCATTGTCTGTGAAACATGTATTGCGATGATGACCTGACTATTTAATGGACTAAAAATTTTATCGTCTAATGATGATATTAACAGGCCTACCGTCAGACCTTCATAATGAAGTTTTATTTGATATTGATGCTTCTGGATGGGATATTAATGCTTTCGATTGCTTTGGCGTAAGCACGCCTTATTCGTCTGAAAAGAGAAAACTATCAAAAAGGAAAGCATCCCCTTTTAATATGGCGAAGTTGAATTCCCCTGGTGCTACGGGTTGGTATAATAAGAATTAAGACATAATCTACTGCCATGATTTGTATTAAAATACTAGCTTTCGTAAATATTATTTTCTTGCTTATTTAGAATTTAGATTTAACGGACATTTACTAGCAGGCCTTCAAAGTCCACCTGGGTAACGTATTTTCCAATTATAAGATCTGTTCGTCATCTGTAATCGTTTTCGTGATTTATTAACAGATTGACTATGTCTAGGCTCATCCCAATGTCATCACCGGTAATATCACGATTTACGACACCTCGAATTTTACGAAGAGCGAAGAGAAAGAAGCATGTATCCGTACTATCACAGTCTTATCCTAATAAAAAAAGTGAATACTTCTCAATAGAGTAGTAGCAATGCATTACAACTCGAATTTTATTTTTTACTGACCAAGTTGACTTTATTCATATACTATACTGAGGTGATAATTGTTAGCTATATTGTCGAATTCGGTTAACATATTGATATCAATATTGTATCAACCTTAACGTCACTTACAGCGATCAGCTCTCTCAGACAGGACAAACCTATCTCTGGAACAAAATTCATCCATTATTAGTGCTAAAGGAAGGAATGATATTTCATTTGCGACGCCTCTTAAGAGTACTCCGATAAAGTCTTTGCCCTTTTCTCCGTCACAATTTTTAAACAGCCCAGATACGTTATCAAAAAATTATGATAGCCATGCGTTGGATTCTTCTGCAGGTATTAATAATAATAATGAACAAGATTAGTATTACTGTACTGTATTATGAACAACTTATTGATATAAAATAAAGTATGATATTGTCAGTAGAGTACTAAGTCTGTATAAAAACAATTCTTTTTTATAGTTTTTCTGAATGCTTCCACTCCGGTAAATTCCTCCCAGCTAAGTGGTATTGAGTATACTGATACTAGAGATGGCAGACTAGAAACGCCAGTTCTAATAAAATCACTGCTTGATGCTGCGCCTCGGACGCCAACTCCTTTCAAGACTTCATTTCGTCAGCTGGAACAGCAAGGGGGCAAAGTTGAGAAATTGGTAATCATCAATTTCGCTATAAATAATTTGGAGTGACTTTAAATATGAATTGATCAGTGTATCTTTGCCAACATTTTCAGACCCCTGGCAATGGTAGCTTTATTGATGATTTTAATGACTTGATCTTAAATGATGCCTCAGCTGCATTTGCTATGGATTCTCCGTTAATAACGAGCAAAAAAACACGCAGTGTTAGAAAGTTGATAAGAACTCCTGGAAATGATAATATGTGTAAGAAATTTGACAAAGCCCTATGCGTCAGGTTATTCAAATCTCCTCCAAAGCAAGAATCAAAATCGCGTACAAGCAATAAGAACTCAGCAACATCCAGTCAGCTAGAGGATTTGGTAAAATTTCATGTTCCTAGGCACTACTAGATGTCGGATCTTATAATTACTTTGATACCTGCATGGATTCTAAGATATTTAGCATGCCCATCGGCTTAGCTATTATTCATTATTTTAAGTTTTTTTTACTTTTAATATCCACGTGTTGTTCTACTGCAAATTGATTGATGGAAGGACTCACAATAATTGTATAATAGGACGAGATTATTGATTTCTCATTGATAACACAAGATCGAAATTCAAACGCAAACGAAGCCAATACTAGTTCATCCTCAAGCTTTATAATACCAGGCTTGTCACAGACGGTAAGTATAGTATTGTATGTATTTTATTGTGGTAACTGAGGTATTCTGATAAACAGGAATAGAGAGATGATCATCTTTGATTTATCTGTAGAAATCCCAAGACGGATGTAACTTTGTTAAAGGTAAAATGCAACAAGAAACGCCAATAAAGCCGTGTGGAAAGGTAATGTCTTTTTTGTTTCTTGCTAGCTACCAGTAAGTAAGCGTTGTTATAAGTCTAATTGATTGCGCCTGTATTTTATACGAACAGATGAATGCTTTGCCTAGTATTGCTTGGGAGGCTGTCGTATACGGACAAACTCCAGATCAGAAATTGATTACGGAACAAGCTAAGCAGTTTTTACAGGAAAATTGTAAACCAAGATCCCTTCGTTTATAATCGTTAGACTGCACCTTGCGTTCGTTAGCCATCCATATCACAACTGAACGTTAAAACACATAATTTAAAATATGAATTCATTTTATATGACTTTAGAATGATGTAGTATGTGGACGGATATGGTAAAATTTGTGTCCATTTTTACATGACCATTAATACTTTGTTGTATATACTATCTCTTTGCCTTACTTTAGATGCAGACTATCTACTCTTATCGCTATGTATTTTTTGCAAGACTATTTTAAAGCTCATAAAATGTTAGTTTTCATTTACTTTTAGCTCTGAGACAATTACACTATATTACCCTGTTACCAAGAAATTAATGTTGTTATCAGCGCAGTTACTTGTGTATTAGTATATGAATTGCGTTTACGGTGCTAGTGCAGGTGTAAAAAATACTTTTAGTTATAACTGCTAGTGAAACTAATCTGGATATCGTTGAACGTTTCGTTGATGAAAACTTTGGTTAGATTTAGTTTAGAAATACGTTATGCATTGTATGGCGTATTTCATTATGCATATATATTATGGATTTACTCTAAAGCGACTGCAATAGCCACAAGTACATAATGTAAAACTGTATTGGATACTAAGAAATATGAAAGTATTTATAATTGACCGTCAAGTACCATACGTATTTGCATGTTGTAAATAATCTTGTAAATATATATTTTGTTATGCAATGACGTTATTCATTTAAAATTTTTGTTCAATGTTATGCACACTAAGTTGAATAGGTATTCTTGTTGAAGTATTGATAATATTGATTATAGATAAGAATAAAATTACCTTGCTACAATTTGTGCCAATTGAATGAAGACGTTAGAGATTATTTGCCTTGTAGTTGAAATTGAAAAATGATACTATTGTAGGACTTTGTACAGTAGAAAAAGGCTACGATGCAGCATAGTCTTTTTATTGTTACTCTAGTAAGCTAGATGAAAGTGAAGGGAGGCAAAAGTTTAATTTATCCTAACGTTGAAATTTGAAATTGATATCGGAAGAGTGTTGTAGACAAAAGGTTACGATGCAGCATAGTCTTTTTATTGTTACTCTAGTAAACTAGATGAAAGTGAAGGGAGGCAAATGAAATATTTCATTGGGTAAATTTATATTGGTCGTCCTGATTTTAATTTTCCAATTAGTCATATTACGCTATTCAATCTAATTTATTGAATTGTCATGGACAGTGGGAGTGTACACCTTTATATCATTTTACGTGCATTAATAATCGTCATTTCATACATGTGCAGCGCTCGTCTTGTTAATTTAATTATAATCATCACACCATAAAAGTTACAATAAGTGTTTCTTTTGAATTCACAAGTCGATTATCGAGAACAAACATGCAACTTTGAAATAAATAAATAACAGGAACTACTCAAAAAATTCTCTTAGTAGTCCGTGGAAGTAATATGTTGGACTACATCTTACGTGGTGTACTAACTCGCTAAAAGGACAAATTGTTGGTAAATTATTGGTTTCGTTGTTATTATACTGATAAGTCCATTAGCAACAAGAGACATTTGTGAGTGTAGATATTGCATTTCCCGTCGTTGATATTAATGCTGCATTCGTTCGTTCTAGCGTAGTTTGTTTGATGTATAGTATATGTCCATAACTTACATGCGTCTATATACACGTATACACTGTACAATACCATCCAATGTTGAACCTGAATTGCATATTTTTCTTACTAACATTGCTGAATAATAATATCCAATAGGTTTTTTGCTGTATAATGATGCTCTTGCTCTATAGAATTAAAGTCTATGTAAACGTCAAATGGGCTGAGTAAATACTGAATTGCTTCACTTGGAATTGTCTTTTAAAAGCCTATGCTCCGCCATACATCGAGCAACATAATAAGGTAATAAATAATCTAATCATGACAGATTCTAACTTTTAAAATGCAAGGACAGATTAATTATAGAATGCAAATAGTCAATCAAAAGAGC